GGCAAGCATGAAATGTACAATTTGGTGCTCTAATTATATATTTTGTATTTGTCATTATATAAGCGCATGCGCTTATGCCCTAAACTCAATTACAAGCGCCCTATTATAAACACATATGCGTTACTATCCGGGGTGATACGGTAACGGTAAACATTGATACAAAGTAGAAATGAAACGCAATTCGTGCAAATCAATTCGACGACTCACAAGCGTGGTTTGAAACATCGATCCCCTGAGGTCACGCACACCACGCTGGTGTGCAAAAAGGGTCCAGCGAGCAAGACACATTGGTGCAACGAGCTGGGAATCGCCATGCTACAAGGGGCCAGAGAGTTGCAGCAAGGCACGGCAGACTGAGAAGAGAAAGCGGGCTGCCGTAGCAAGGCCTGAGCACACGGCAGCAAGGCGTGAGCTCACTGCAGCTAGGCGTGAGCTCACTGCAGCAAGGCGTGAGCTCACTGCAGCAAGGCGTGAGCTCACTGCAGCAAGGCGTGAGCTCACTGCAGCAAGGCGTGAGCTCACTGCAGCAAGGCGTGAGCTCACTGCAGCAACGCGTGAGCTCACTGCAGCAAGGCGTGAGCTCACTGCAGCAACGCGTGAGCTCACTGCAGCAAGGCGTGAGCTCACTGCAGCAACACGTGAGCTCACTGCAGCAACGCGTGAGCTCACTGCAGCAAGGCGTGAGCTCACTGCAGCAAGGCGTGAGCTCACTGCAGCAACGCGTGAGCTCACTGCAGCAACGCGTGAGCTCACTGCAGCAAGGCGTGAGCTCGCTGCAGCGAGGCGTGAGCTCACTGCAGCAACGCGTGAGCTCACTGCAGCAACACGTGAGCTCACTGCAGCAACGCGTGAGCTCACTGCAGCAACGCGTGAGCTCACAGCAGCAACGCGTGAACTCACTGCAGCAACGAGAAGCTCACTGCAGCAAGGCATGAGCTCACTGCAGCAAGGCGTGAGCTCACTGCAGCAACGCGTGAGCTCACTGCAGCAAGGCGTGAGCTCACTGCAGCAACTCGTGAGCTCACTGCAGCAACGAGAAGCTCACTGCAGCAAGGCATGAGCTCACTGCAGCAACGCGTGAGCTCACTGCAGCAAGGCGTGAGCTCACTGCAGCAAGGCGTGAGCTCACTGCAGCAACTCGTGAGCTCACTGCAGCAACGCGTGAGCTCACTGCAGCAAGGCGTGAGCTCACTGCAGCAACGCGTGAGCTCACTGCAGCAAGGCGTGAGCTCACTGCAGCAAGGCGTGAGCTCACTGCAGCAACGCGTGAGCTCACTGCAGCAAGGCATGAGCTCACTGCAGCAAGGCGTGAGCTCACTGCAGCAAGGCGTGAGCTCACTGCAACAAGGCGTGAGCTCACTGCAGCAAGGCGTGAGCTCACTGCAGCAACGCGTGAGCTCACTGCAGCAACGCGTGAGCTCACTGCAGCAAGGCGTGAGATCACTGCAGCAACGCGTGAGCTCACTGCAGCAACGCGTGAGCTCACTGCAGCAATGCGTGAGCTCACTGCAGCAAGGCGTGAGCTCACTGCAGCAACGCGTGAGCTCACTACAGCAACGCGTGAGCTCACTGCAGCAACGCGTGAGCTCACTGCAGCAAGGCGTGAGCTCACTGCAGCAACGCGTGAGCTCACTGCAGCAAGGCGTGAGCTCACTGCAGCAAGGCGTGAGCTCACTGCAGCAAGGCGTGAGCTCACTGCAGCAAGGCATGAGCTCACTGCAGCAAGGCGTGAGCTCACTGCAACAAGGCGTGAGCTCACTGCAGCAAAGCGTGAGATCACTGCAGCAACGCGTGAGCTCACTGCAGCAAGGCGTGAGCTCACTGCAGCAACGCGTGAGCTCACTGCAGCAAGGCGTGAGATCACTGCAGCAAGGCGTGAGCTCACTGCAGCAACGCGTGAGCTCACTGCAGCAATGCGTAGGCGTGAGCTCACTGCAGCAAGGCGTGAGCTCACTGCAGCAACGCGTGAGCTCACTGCAGCAAGGCGTGAGCTCACTGCAGCAAGGCGTGAGATCACTGCAGCAACGCGTGAGCTCACTGCATCAAGGCGTGAGCTCACTGCAGCAAGGCGTGAGCTCACTGCAGCAAGGCGTGAGCTCACTGCAGCAACGCGTGAGCTCACTGCAGCAAGGCGTGAGCTCACTGCAGCAAGGCGTGCGTTCATTGCAGCGAGGCGGCAGCGCGTAAGGCGGCAGCGCGTAAGGCGGCAGCGCCTAAGGCGCCAGCGCGTTAGGCGCCAGCGCGTTCGGCGCCAGCGCGCTAGGCGCCAGCGCGGTAGGCGCCAGCGCGGTAGGCGCCAGCGCGGTAGGCGCCAGCGCGCAAGGCGCCAGCGCGGTAGGCGCCTAGCTGCCGACGAGTTGTACGAAAGCGCGATGCTTTCTCAGCAAGGGCGACTGTTCAGAACCCTAAAAAGCGAAAGTGGCGATAGGGTTACCATCAAGGGCGACCAAATCCCGCAACTCACCTATGCATGCTGCAGCGAGGCAGGTGGGCATGGAGGGGAAGGAGAAGGGGGGAACGCGCGGGGGAGGGAGGGAAAGGTTGGGAAGGGGGGGAAGAGGGGAAGGAGGGGGGAAGGGGTCGATGGATGTGAAAGACAACGGGAACAAAAGGGAGGAGAAAAGGGGGGAAGGGAGAAAGGGAGGGAGGGAGGGATGGAGAGGGGGGAGGGAGGGAGGGAGGGAGGGGCGGGTAAGGATGGGACGATCACGAAAGATGATGGTGGGTGGGAACGCGGAAGGGGAGACGGGGAGGGAACGAGAAGGCGAGGGAAGGACGGGAGGTGAGGAGCCTGGAATGAGCACGCGACTGGCAAGCTGATTGCGCCTTTTTGGGAAAGACTTTTGAGGACTTTTGAGGCGCCTCAAAAGGGGAGGGAACGAGAAGGCGAGTGAAGGACGAGAGGTGAGGAGCCTGGAATGAGCACGTGACTGGCAAGCTGATTGCGCCTTTTTGGGAAAGACTTTTGAGGACTTTTGAGGCGCCTCAAAAGGGGAGGGAACGAGAAGGCGAGGGAAGGACGGGATGTGAGGAGCCTGGAATGAGCACGTGATTGTAAAGCTGATTGCGCCTTTTTTGGGAAAGAGACGAAATCCCGTGTCCAGATTTGTGAATTGACTCAGAAATAGGAGCAGTGAAAACAATAAACCGGGTCCATCAGGAGAAGTGAGAAGGAAATCAGGCACACCGCGTGTTGAGTTGCTTACACGTCAGGAGTAGCGAGGTGCTGACGAGCAACGAGAGGACGTCACCCCGACTTATCGTTCGTGCGACTGAAGCTAACCGCCGCGCTTCGGAAGATTTCAGATTGGTAATTAGGAAAAAACGTACGATTGAAATCGGTCACAGAATTGGGATCGATCCCCTGCTTGCGCACTCATATCGCGCGATTGGTAACCTTGTAACCTAACTGTCGGACGGCGCCTTCCGACAAGCCGACGCGAAGAGCCATTCTCGCCGCCGGTGGTGGTAATCTATGCGCAACGACAAACTTTTAAGTCGACTCAAAAGTCATTCAAATCGCCTACCGATAAGCCGATGCGACGAACCATTCTCGTCGGCGCTGGTGGTGGCAACCTCGGCGCAACGACAGTACCGTTACTAGAAACGTTAGCAGCATCAAAGTTGCGTGAAAGGCAGGTTACAAGGTTACCAGGTCCAGAGAGACTCCTCTAAAGGGCCAGCCGAAGGCCTTCAAGGGCGCACCACCCTACGCACTTACGAGGATTCGCCTGAAACGATAAGGTGAGGCGAGGTAAGGAATCTGAAAGGACTGTCAGTGGAATTCTAGAATTCTGAAGAGTCAAGGTAACATCATATTGCGCGCAGCCTTACGGGGGTTAGGAAGGCGTGACGATGTTCTCCAACGGGAACCACCTTTCGCCGTTCGAGCAGGGAGCAAGGCGGAAAGCAAGGTGGGCAGCACAGCACCTTTTGCTGTCCTGCATCGCTGCAGTTGCATACGACCGTCCGTGAAGGACGTCGCCACGCCACCGTTCAGCTGACAGATAGCGTCGGCTAGAGGCGAAATCGATCGCCGAGCTTTTCCCTATCGCTTGCACAGTCCTTGCCGCTCGCGCTGTCCCTACGACGAAGCGGCGCAAAGAAATGCGAACGCGCGAGGAAGCTGGTGGCAACAGTCTGCTGCCAGTTCGGAGTTATCTGCCACGTGCCATGTCCCTGACTCTCTGGCTGCTGTTCCTTGATTGGACTCTTTTCGGCAGGCACTAGTTTCCTACGGAATCAGCCTTCGACAGTCCCGAGGGACCGTTTGGAAATATTGTCGTTTCTGTAACAACTCTTTCACGAAACTTCTCGAGGTCGCTGCTTTGTAACTTTGTCCCGCTGAGAGTTCGTCAGTGTTCGCCCACGTGATTTGTGGGCCGTGGGGTTCGCCGGCCAGGAGTCGCCCTTTGGGGTGAAATCCATGGACATCGAGCCGCCCAATCGGAATTGCGATGCCAGTGCGGATCGGCGTCCCGCTCCAACCATTTGACTCGCACAGCATTTTCAGGCAAGCAGATTCTGGTCCGGAGGTGCAGCATCGCCGCAAAATTGGATGTGGTGGTTACGTCTTCTTCAGGAAACCATTCACGATACACTACCTTGACTCGCGGACTTTCGCCCGCGCATGTCCAGCCTCATGCTTGTTGATCCCTACAAAAGGCCTTGTTCGGCTGGCGCTAAGTTCAGTACCTGCTTTGCATTTCGAAGACCCACCTCCACCACCAATCCACACAAACTTGAGAGACTCCCAAACTTCGCTCCCACCAAGCCAAGCAGCAGAGGCAGATAGTAGAGGGAGAATGTCGTCCTTCCACGCTTTCATGCGATTAGGGCGACTCAAGTTCATCCCGTACTCGTCAATGCTCGCGCTCATGGGCGCACTCTCACGCGACATCAGCCACCACCACCATCACCACCACCACCACCACGACTCGTGGTTCAGTTTCCCGGCGAGCTTCATCCCCGTCGCGTTGTTCGTGGCATGCACGCACGTCATGACGCATTACTACAACGAATACTTCGATTACGAGGCCGATCTCGCGAACAAGCAGCGCGGAAAGTGGAACGGCGGCTCGGGGGTGCTTCCCGAGGGCCTGCTGCCGCGCTGGCTGGCGCTCGCCGCGGCGAACGTGCTGCTCATCGGCAGCGTCGTCACGCAGCTCGCCTTCTTCCGCGCCCCCGCGCAATGCGTCGCGTGCGCGACGCTCTTCCTCTCCTGGGCGTACACCGCGCCGCCCTTCAAGCTCCACTATCGCGGCTTGGGCGAAGCGACCGTTGCCGCCGTGCTGACGTGCAGCGTCCCCGTGATGGGCGCGCTGCAGCGCCGCGACGACAACGCGTTCGTGCTTCCCACGTCGCTCCGCGCGATCATCCCGCTGCTGTGCGCGCAGCAGTTGGTGCGGATGATGATCATGAATCTCCCCGACATCGATTCCGACCTGCAGTGCGGCAAAATCACGTTGACCGCGCGACTGGGGCCGGAGCGTGTGGCGCGTTTGTATCGATTCACGCAAAATGCGGTTGGTGTCATGGCAGTGGTCTTGTTCGCGTGCGGGCGCATGACGTGGCCCGTGCTGGTCGCGTTTCTCGTCGCCACAACCAAGGGAATCAGTTTGGCGCGTCGCTTAGACGGGATCGTATTTGCAGTCGCTAAGACTACGGCCAATGCCCGCGACAACAAAAAATACGACGACGCTGATCATACTGCTGCGCGAAAGCCCTTGAGTGCCACTATGCACTATGGAGATCTCCCTTATCAGGCGACGATCCACGTGGCATCGACGTCGCTAATGCTGGTCCTAGCGCAAGCCGTGGTGCTGATGACGCAGTGAGTGAAAGTGAGTCATCATGGGCGGTGGATGCGGGAAGTGGCGAGAGGTAAGGAACAATTCCATCTAGGTATACCGTAATCCGTAATTGTAAATATTATTGACTTTATAGAGCTGAAAGTGGTGTTGGCGTTTTATACAGTGTCAAGAAGGCGTTTGTGGGTCAGTGTACTGTACCTCGTGTTGGAGTAGAGACATTTGTCTATTGCATTGTTTAGCAAGCTGGTGCCACAAGCCGTTTTGCCAACAAGAAATCCAAATACTTGTGTTGCACGTGAGTCTGCCTGGAAAGCTACAAGAAGCCCTTTGCAACAAGCATGTGCGCTTCCGAAGTACGGTAAAACATGGCAAAGCAGAGCAATCACGTATGGCACCTTCATTCTCGGCAGCCTAGGTAATGTAGAAATTCAATATACAGCACAAACACTGCCCTCCAGCCCACACTCAGGAGGACGACACAGTCAATGCAGTCAATGGAGGTCAGAGCAGGTCGAGCAGCATGTGGTAGAGCATCCTGGTCCACTCATCCGGAGGGCCAGGCAGGCAATACTGTAGGCAATCCAAGGGCGGGCGAATGTGCCCGTCGGGTCTCAAAGCGGTCATAGGGTCAACATCCAGGAACACGCCCCCAACTGCCCTCACCAGCCGCTTCGCCCACTCGTTCTGTGCGGCAAACTCCCCCCAGTGGTTGGGTAAGGACGAGGGGTCTTGGCGCTCTGTGATTGGTGCAAGCAGCTGGTCACAGTGGGCGTGGCCGGGCGGCGTGCTTCGGTAGATTATGAGGAGGTCCGGTGCTGCGGCTCTCACTTTGGTGAGGGTTTCGTTCAGCTGGGGGATGAACTTATCGTCCTCGATAAAGTGTGACCCGCGGTTCAGTATAAGCACAGAGATGTTACTGCTGCTGTCATTGCCGCTGCTGTTACTGGAGCTGCTACTAGAGGGGACAGCCTTGATCTGGTCAAACCAGGGCAACGAGAGGGTCGATGCGTCCGCAGGTCCGGCAGCCGGATCCTGGGCCGCAGGGTCGGTATTGGGTGGCGAGGTTCGGAGGACGTCGTCCCGAACAAAGAGGACAGACGCGGAGTCGCCAAAGGTGAATTGGGTGCAGACAGGAAAGTCCTGCTGCTGCCTTAGGTCCAGCCTGGCACAGAAATCCGGCACCTCATCCCGCACCATGATCCGATGTTCCAGCCCCTCATACCCCTTCCCTCCTCCCGTTCCTCCTGCTACTCCGGCTCCTCCCGCTCCTCCCCCCACCCGTCCCCCTCCTGGCATGAGCATGTGGTTGCGGAGGGACAGGAACAGCATTGCGCTCGTTTCATCCCCCACCATCAGCACCCTCCGCCCCGCCAGCCTCCCTGCCAGCTCACCCCTCTCCACCGCACCCCACCGCCCGCACCTCCTGTGCACCCTCCACCTGTATTTCGCCGCGTCCCGAACCTGCCACTCCCGCGCATGCCGAGCCTCATCAGCTACAGCATCGGCAGCGGTGAAGGCCAGATTGCCAGTTTCAGAGGCCTGGCGCGACCAGGCAGCGTCACACTCCCAGCCGGACCAACCCTTGCGGAGTTTGAACCAGGGGAGTTGGCGGGGGACCGGGTCCAGATCCCAGATGCCCTGGGTGGCCAGGCACTCAAAACGCTGCTCAAAAGTTTTCAGGGCTTGTTCGGTGAGGAGGGTCGATCCAGGGATGACGGGCTTGGATTGCGTTTCTGGTGCTGCTGGTTGCTGTGGGTTTTGGTTGGAAAGGGGTTCGGTAGAACCTGATGCGGCAGCACCGGCGGTTGTAGCAGCAGCGGCAGTTGCAGCGGCAGCGGCAGTTGTGGCTGTAGCAGCGGCGGCGGCGGCTACAGCTGCTGCTGCCCCCGGCCCTCCCTCATCCGCCCCCACTGCCACACTCACTGCCCTTCCGTGTGCTGCTAATAGCTCCTGACATGCGGAGAAGATGCTTGACGATGGGTTGAGAGCGGTGAGAGTGGAGGAGGAAGGGGTGGAGAGAGTGGAGAGGGAGGAGGAAGGAGGGGCGAAATGGGAGATTTGGGTGGTGGGGGAGTGGAGGGAGGACCAGAGGAGGAAGAGGAGGAGGAGAGAGATGGAGGAGAGGAGGGGGGCGACGAGAGGGGGAGGGAGGCGCGAGAGGGAGTGCACGCAGAAGAGATGTGCCCTGCCCGCCTGCACGTGTGCCTTGGCGAGTAGGTCATGGGCGAATCTGATGAGGAAAAAGTTTGATAAGGGGGAAGGTGGGGGAAAAGGGAAAGGGGGAAATGGGGGGAACGGTGAGGGAAATGCGGGGAAGGGAGGGCCTGAGACAACAGCATGCAGAAGAGATGTGCCCTGCCCGCCTGCACGTGTGCCCTGGCAACTAGGTCAAGCGCGATTCTGGTGAGAAAATGGGGGAGGGAAGGGGCGGAGGTGGAGGGAGGCGGTCGCTTTTGAGAGTTCTTAAAATGGAATGCACACAGAAGAGATGCCCTGCTGGCCTGCACGTGTGCCCTGGCGAGAAGGTCATGGGCGTGTATGAGGAGGAAACAGAGGGGGCAAGGGATGTGGCGGGGGAAATGCGGGGAGGGAAGGGCCTGATGAAACAACAACCATGTAGTAGAAGAGATGCCCTGCTGGCCTGCACGTGTGCCCTGTCCTGGCGAGAAGGTCATGAGACGTCTCAAAACACTTCTTTTATCAACAGCCATGAGACAACAGCCATGTAGTAGAAGAGATGCCCTGCTGGCCTGCACGTGTGCCCTGCCCTGGCGAGAAGACTTCTGAGACGTCTCTAAAGTCGTGTGCCCTGGCGAGAAGGTCGTGGGCGTATGTGGTGAGGAGGGGGGCAATGAGGTGGTGTGGTGACGGAGGGGGGATTGGAAATGAGGAAGGCAGGGGTGCGGAGGGTGGGTGGCACATGAGGAAGGCAGGGGTGCGGATGGTGGGTGGCAAATGAGGAAGGCAGGGGTGTGGATGGTGGGTGGCACATGAGGAAGGCAGGGGTGCGGAGGGTGGGTGGCACATGAGGAAGGCAGGGGTGCGGATGGTGGGTGGCACATGAGGAAGGCAGGGGTGCGGATGGTGGGTGGCACATGAGGAAGGCAGGGGTGCGGATGGTGGGTGGCACATGAGGAAGGCAGGGGTGCGGAGGGTGGGTGGCACATGAGGAAGGCAGGGGTGCGGATGGTGGGTGGCACATGAGGAAGGCAGGGGTGCGGATGGTGGCAGCGGGGGGCGCAAGAGGGAATGCACAAAGAGAAGATGTGACCTGCCCTGCCCGCGTGCACATGTGCCCTGGCGAGAAGGTCAATGGACTATCTCAAGCGGAAAAAGGGTGGTAAAGGAAGGAGGTGGGCGGGGGGAGGGGAGAGAGGGGGAGAGGGAGGGGGAAATGCGGGAGGGAAGGGGGGAAGATGGAGGGGGAAATGCGGGAGGGAAGGGGGGAAGAGGGAGGGGGAAATGCGGGAGGGAAGGGGGGAAGAGGGAGGGGGAAATGCGGGAGGGAAGGGGGGAAGGGGGAGGGGGAAATGCGGGGAGGGAAGGGCGTGATGAGACAACAGCAAAGCATGCAGAAGAGGCGTGCCCTGCCCTGCCCGCAGGCACGTGTGCTCTGGCGAATAAGTCAAGGGAGTACCTGATGCGGAGGGTACGGGGTGGCCCGATGGGGGGGTTGAAAAGAAGACAGGGCAAGAATGAGAGGTTGCGGTGGGTTGAGAGAGGTTGGTGGGGATGAGGGAGTGACATGATTGAACCCCTCGCAACCCAAATGAGTGCATTGGAGGGGCAACGGAGGGGCAACGGAGGGAGCAAAGGAGAGGGTTCAGGGATTAGGGTTAAAGTGGGCGCCTGGAAGCACGTCCTATGGTGTGTGGATGTGCGAGCATGCGAGATCTGTTCGCGCGTACTCGCATTCGCATTCGCATTCACGCGTGTGTGAGGACCCCTTGTGCAAGTGTATACTCCCAGTCCCACATAGCATGTGCATGCAAGCAGCTTTTCAGGCGCCTCAGGAGCACATGCAAATTGTTTATTCTCCAAAAATACAGAAAAAATCCTCTTACCTTCGATTGAAGCGCACTCGCATTCGCAATCACATTCGATATCGCATTCGCATTCGCATGCGTGGGATAATCTAACTCTTTTTTTCCCTTACACTTTCACGGACTCGAATGTGTGCGCGCTAAAGAGCTCCCCGCTTTGGTACTTGCGCCAGACGGCCCCGACATTGTTCTTCGCCGTCTCGTACGAAAGCATCGCCCAGCGCTGCACCTGCATCGCCGCGTGGCTCGTCGCCAGCCGTCGCACGCCTCGCACGGGGTCGTCCACGCATTCGCGAAACGCATGTGCGACGCTCTCCGTGCCGCCACGTGGACTGCCTCCTCCATGTCGCGACGTCGGCGCCATGCCTGCTACCTTCTTGTCTGAACACTGTGCTACCTTCTTCCCTTACAAAGGGGTAAGCTTCCAATGGCCTAAACGAAACACTTCATATAAACCGCTAGAACGATACCATGAAGGTACCGGCGCGTACACGGACCAATCCGTAGTACGGATCCGAAATGCAGCCGCTTCAGCTTGTCACGACAGCCGTTCGGCACCCAATGTAAACCATCGGTCTACTAGTGGGCGCTCTGCCTGCCGTTTTGCAGAACAGCCTCAAATGTAGCACCTCAGGAGGTAAGCTAGCCAATTGGTAGGGGAAGTGATAAGAAATGAGGTAAACGCCAGAGGAGCTAACTATTTTCTACCTACCAATGGTAGGTGACGTCACATGGTTTTGGTTAGTGCCCTGGTTGGTTGGCTTGTATTATACTGTACAGTATCAATGTACGGCAGCTCCTCCACAAGTACAAAACAGAAAACACTCGCATATGGATGGACTCACTACCATCGCGATCGCCCTATTATTGTACAGAGCTAAGGAAACTGCACAATGTAACAAGCCAACCACCACCCACAATCTCAAAATCCTTGGTTACTAGTCAGCAGTAACGAACCAACATTCCAAAGTCATGTCAAGTGTCCTTAATGCTTGAAGCGACAGCTAGGTCCGTTCCGACAAAACCCTCTGGCAAAGAACCTACACGCAAAACGATCACCCTCCCCACCTCCGCTTCCACTACCCCCTAACCTTCCACTACCACCACCACTCCACTCATCACCTCCTCGCTCTCTCCCCCCTCCCGGCCCTCGAAACGAAATCTCCCTCCTCCCACCACCATCCCTCCACCCATCGTCACTCCCTCTCCCCCGTCCCTCCCCTCCCCCGCGGCTTTGCCAACCCCCATCCTCACTCCCTCTCCCCCGTCCCTCTCCTCCGCCCCTACTCTGCCAACCCCCGCCATCACTCCCTCTCCCCCCTCCCTCACCCCCACCCCTACTCTGCCAGCCCCCATCCTCATTCCCTCTCCCCTGTCCCTCTCCACCCCTTCGACTTAGCCACCCTCCATCCCCACTCTCTCCCCCCCATCCTCCAGTACCAGTACCACCCACCCCAGTACCACCTACCCCAGGGGAATTTACCCCAGAAGCACCCGCTCCAAAACCACCTACCCCAGAAGCACCCTGTTCCCCTCCTTCCCAGCCCTGCCTATTTCCCCCACTCCACCCTTCCCCCCACCCACTGCTGCCACCACCCCTGCTTTGCCACCCTGACCCCTCACCTCCTGGCCCCCCCATTCCTGCCGCTCCTACTGCCCCACCAGCAGCAGTAACCCCAGGGCCAACGGGTGTGCCTTGCTGCCCCATGCCACCGTACGGCTGAGGAGCATTGGGGGCATGAGGAACGTGTGGGGAGTGAGAAACCTCGGGAATTTGGGAAAATTGGGGTGCGACAGGACCCCCCACCCCACCGCTTGGCACACTGAAAGCTGCTGTGCCTGCTGCTGCCCCTGCTACCCCAACTGCCCCTGCTGCTGGTCCGATTCCTGCCGCTGCCAACCCCGTTCCACCAGTGCCACCAGCACCAAAAGCACCACCCATACCACCACCAGACACACCAACACCAGCACCACCAGCACCACCAGCACCACCAGCGGCAGCAGCCCAAAACTGCTGCTTCTCCCTCCCAAACGGGTCCACCTTCCCTTCAGCCACCTCTGACAGCAGCACTCCGCTCTCCGGCCCCTCCCCCACGCACCACACGCGCAGGTCGGGGGGGAAGACGTTGAGGGGCAGCCAGCCGCGCAGGCGCGCGAGGGAGAAGGGCCCCTGCAGGTCGCCCTGGGGGTCGCGGTAGTGCCACAGCTGCTGCTGCTCCAGCCGAGAGAGCTCTGCTCGCCACGCGGATTCCAACTCTGCTTGCTGCTGCTGCAGCTGAAGCTGCTGCAGCTGCTGCTGTTGCAGCTGCGGCTGCTGGAAGCTTGGCTGTTGCTGCTGCTGTGGCTGGGGGTTCTGCTGCCAGTTGGGAAGGCTGGCCTCTTGCTGGTTACCACTACTCATCCCTGCCTCTCCCTTCCAGCCATCCCTCTCCTCCCTCCGGCTGTCTCTCTCCTCCCCTCGCTCCCTGCTCCCCCCACTACCCTCCCTCCTCCACCCCCTATCGCCGCTCCTGCCCTCACTCCTGCCCTCTCTCTCCCTCTCATCTCTCCCCCATCCGTCTCTCTCCCGTCCCTCTCTCCTCTCACCTCGCTCCCTATCCCGCCCCCAACCTCTGCTCCCTTCTTCCTTCTCTCTTTCCCAACCCCTTCCGCCTCTCCCTTCCTTATCTCCCTCCCTGTCCTCCTCTCGTCCCCACCCTCCTTTCTCCTCCCTCCTTCCCTCCCTCCTATCCTCCTCCTCCCACCTCCCACGTCCTCGATCCCCACTCCCTTCCCCAAACCTTCCCCTCCCCCTCCCCCTCCCCCTCCACCCCCCTTCCCTGTCCGACCTTCCCCCATCCCCTCCCCTGTCACTCCCCTTCCACCCTCCCCGTTCCCCCTCATATCCCCACCCTCCTCTCCCCCTCTCCTCCTCCTCAGAACGAGAACCAGATAGGGATCTAGACATGGGAATTGCACTATCCTCCTCTCTCTTCTCTTCCCCTCTCTCCCCCCTCTCTCCTCCTGCCCCTCCCCCGCTCCCCCAACCATCCCCTCTCCCTCTCCCGCCCATCTCCCCTCCTCCTCTCCCCCTTCCCCCGAACTCTCCTGCTCCTCTCCCCCCCCTGGGACGTGAATGGGGGACGACCGAACTCCAGGGGTCTGGAGGATAGGGGGAAGGGGGAACGCGGAAGCGGAAGAGGAAAGGGGAAGGAGAGGGGAAGGGGGGGAATGGGAAGAAAGCGAGACTGCATATGTGAGAAAGCATAGTACGTTGTGTGGGGGAAGCGGGAGGGGGAAAGGTGAAGACGAAGAAGAAAAGGGGGAACGGGAAGGGAGAAGGGGGGACGGGGAACGGGGCAACGGGGAACGGGGAACGGGGAAGGGGGAAGGGAGAAGGGGGAAGGTGAAACTATGCGAGATTGCATAGGTGAGAAAGGGATGTGTGTTGTGCGTGAACTGGTGAAAAACAAACTCCAATCCAGCCTTCCCTCCCATACCTCCCCTCCCTCCACTTCCCCTCCCTCCCTCAATCCCTTGGGCCTTGGCCCTCACCTGTCTTGTTCTTCTCGCCCTCACCTCACCATCGAAGTCACCCATGGAAAGTCACGTGTTTGAAGAAATGTTTGGGACGTCTCAAAACTCTTCTCGCCCTCACCTCACCATCGAAGTCACCCATGGAAAGTCACGTGTTTGAAGAAATGTTTGGGACGTCTTAAAACTCTTCTCGCCCTCACCTCACCATCGAAGTCACCCATGGAAAGTCGACTTTTGAGTCGACTCATTTTTATTTAGTCGACTCAAAAATCGACTTCTCGCCCTCACCTCACCATCGAAGTCACCCGTGGGAAGTCGGTTTATGAGTCGACTCAGAAATCGACTTGTCGCCCTCATTGTGGAACGGAGCAGCAAGTCAGGGTCCGCCTCCTGTGCCGCCTCTTCTTTTCCTCCCTCCCTGCCTGTCCCTCTCACCTGTCTGCTTGTTCTTCTCGCCCTCATCATCAGAATCGCCAGTAGACAGGTTCAAGAGGTCAGGGTCCGCCTCAATGATTGGATACTCCATCATCTTCTTGGCTTTGAACGCCGGCTTGTCCAACTCCTTGAGCGCTTGCACACCCTCCCTGCCTTCCTACCTGCCACCCTCCCTTGGCCCTTACCTGTCTGTTTCTTCTTCTCGCCCTCATCATCGGAATCACCAGTAGAGAGGTTCATGAGGTCAGCGTCCGCCTCAATGGTTGGGTAATCAGCGGCTTCGAATGCCGCCTTGTCCAGCTCCTTGAGCGCTTGCACTGTACACACTCCCTCCCTCCCAGCCTCCCTCCCTCCCTGCCTCCCTCCCCTCTCTCTCCCCACTCTCCCTCCCTCCCCTCTCCCTACCTCCCCTCGCTCTCCCCGCTCTCCCTCCCTCCCTTACACCGCTGGCCCTCACCTGTCTGCTGCTTGTTCTTCTCGCCCTCATCATCAGAGTCGCCAGTAGACAGGTTCATGAGGTCAGGATCAGCCTCAATGGTTGGGTACTCCGCCATCTTCTTGGCTTTGAATGCCGGCTTGTCCAGCTCCTTGAGCGCTTGCACACACTCCCATTGCGTGGCGACCAGAACGGTTGAAAGCGGTTGAACGGGATTTATTGATTCAGCACAGGAGTTCCGGATTTGGTGATTTGAGGAAAAGTATGGGGGAGGAGAGGGAGGACGAGGAGGAGGATGGATGAGAATGGGGGGAAGGAGGGAAAAGGAATGGAGGAGGAGCATGGGGGATGGGAAGAAGGAAACCGGCTGGTTAAGGAACGCTTGGATACACTGAGATCGAGTTGATAGGGAATAACAACATTAGAAAAAATGACAGGGAAAACTTAGTGATACAGACTCTATATAGCTGGCAAGGAGATGGCGGAGGGAGAACGAGGAGAGGGTGAGGAGGGAGGGAGGTATGATCCGACGCTGAGGAGGGAAAGTGACTGATGAGAGCTTGAAGAGTGGGCCAAATAAACATGAGCTAGGAAAAAGCATGGGCAGAAAAGCACGCGCAGAACATAATCAGGGTGGAATCAGGCACGGGGTGAGGTAAGGAGGAAGGGAGGAGAGTAGTGTCGCTGTAAAAGGATATTCTTTCTTAGATCCTCGCTCGCTGGCCCTGTCCCTCAGATTGGTCAGCTTGACTCGCTCTGCCTCCAACCACTGGCAGAGTGGGAAGGGGGGGGTTGAGGGGGGGGGGGGGGGGGGGGGAGAGAAGGGAGAGAGGAGGTTGAAGCAGCAGTAAGAGAGAAGCAGGGGAGAGGGGACGGGTTTAAGTGTGACGCTTGCTTGCTAGCTTTGTCCCTCAGATTCGTCAGCTTGACTCGCTCTGCCTCCAACCACTGGCGGAGTGGAAGGGGAGGGGGAGGCAGCAGTAAGAGAGAAAGCAAAGAGGAGCAGGGGAGTGGGGAAGGTGTGAGTGAGATTTGCTCGCTCGCCCTGTCCCTCAGATTGGTCAGCTTCACTCGCTCTGCCTCCAGCCACTGGCAGGAGCTAAGGGATCAGGAAGAGAGGGAAGGCAGGAGGGGTCGGGAAGAAGGGAGGAGAGGGGAAGCAAAGGGAGGGGAGAGAAGGGAAGGGGAGGGCGGTTACACTGTCTGGCTCATCGTTTTCTCATGACTCATGAGTCGACTCAAAAGTCACCTTTTGAGTCGACTCAGAAGGGAGGGGAGAGAAGGGAAGGGGAGGGCGGTTACACTGTCTGGCTCATCGTTTTCTCATGACTCATGATGCCATCTTTATAAATCAATGACTGGAAACTAGTAATGTTCCAACGGGAAAGTGCACACCACACCACTCCACACCACACCACACCACACCACACCACTCCACACCGCACCGCACCCCACTGCTCAACTCCACGCGGCACTCACATCGTTGACTTTGAGCTCATGCAGCTCGTTCTCCTTGGCTGCCACCTCGTCCTGATACATAGGAGAGAAGGGAGGGCGAGAGAGAAGGGACAGAGGGGGAGAGAGATGCACATCAGCACAGACCGATTCACTTTGCGCTCGTGCAACTCGTTCTCCTTGGCTGCCACCTCGTCCTGACAGGAGGGAGTGGGGAGAGCGAGAGGGGCGAGGGGAGAGGGAAGAGCGCATGGGATTTCTTCCAAGGCAGCACAGCCGATTCACTTTGAGCCCATGCAGCTCGTTCTCCTTGGCTGCCACCTCGTCCTGACAGGAGAGAGTGGGGAGAGGGGCAAGGCGAGCGGGAGGAGGGGAGAGGAACGAAGGGTGAGGGGCGAGGGCATGAGTGTGCTTCGAAGGCAGCACAGCCGATTCACTTTGAGCCCATGCAACTCGTTCTCCTTGGCTGCCACCTCGTCCTGTTACAGGGGAAAAAGAGGCAAGGCACGTGGGCAGACAGACGAGGGGAGAGGGGAGATGGGAGAGGGACGAGGGCATGAGTGTGCATTGAAGGCAGCACGGCCAATTCACTTTGAGGGGATGACTGGCATGACATGTCACATTACATAACATCAACCTGATTCTGAGCTCGCTCGGGGAGGGAGAGAGACGAGGGCATGAGTGCGCTTTGGAGGCAGCACAGCGGAATCACTTCGAGCTCTAAGGATGGAAAGAGGAGAGGAAGTGGGGAGAGCAGCCATGAATCTTGTGCATGTGGATCACAGTATTGGCATGGCATGGCATGGCATGGCATGGCACATTTGGAAGCATGCAGCAGAGCAGGGGAGAACATACCACAGTGAGTCGATCAACTAGCCCCCACTTCATGTACTGCCGCAGCTTCTGACACTCCAAACCACATACCAACCACCGTGCTACTGTCATAGGCACGGCACAGCGTGTGGGCATTTGGTAATGGTCGGTTCAAAGGCATCGCATGGCAGCACACACGTACCACAGTGAGTCGATCAACTAGCCCCCACTTCATGTACTGCCGCAGCTTCTGACATTCCTCCTGCGTTGGGAAAGGGCGGAGGCGGATAGGCACGGAATTAGACGGCACGTACTGTGTAGCAACGAGTGAAGGAGAGACTCCATGAGACCTCACTCACTTCAGTTCAGTACAGACCTGAAGTGACCGACTGATACTGAGCGACTGTGCGTGGGTGGTATCAGTACTGTCCCCCACACACATTCCTGACCGACTGATACCACCCACCCACGCACAGTCGCTCACTCTCACTCTCTCTCACCTCAGTGAAGACGGAGTTGGAAAGGAAACCAGGTCAATAGTCGTGGCCTCTGGCGTCTTGAGGGGTCATGATGAGCAGCACCCTGTTGGTCAGGCGCTTGTGATTCACACACTCACACACCCACTCACACACTCACCCTGTACCTCACACACACTCTCTCTTACCTCTGTAAGGTCAGGTTAGAGACGAGGTCAATGGTCGTGGCCTCTGGCGTCTTGAGGCTCATGATGAGCAGCACCCTGTTGGTCAGGCGCTTGTAGCTCACACGTTCACACACCCTGACCCACACGTTCACTCACTCATACTGTAACTCAGTCGACTCACGCTCACCTCAGTGAAGTCAGAATTAGAGACGAGGTCGATAGTCGTGGCTTCTGGCGTCTTGAGATTCATGATGAGCAGCACCCTGTTGGTGAGACCCTTGCCCACCGGGTACATGTCAGTCTGGCTCGTGCAGCCTGCAGAGCAAAGGATAGATGGAGGGGTGTGAGCAACGAAGGACAGGGAGAGGGGGGTGCGTCTTGAGGTATATGACGAGAAGCACCCTGTTGGTCAGCCCCTTGCCCACTGGATACATGTCCGTCTGGCTCGTGCAACCTGAAAAGCCAAGGATGTAAGGATGTGAGTAGGGGGGGCATGATGTGTCTTCAGGTTCATACATAATAAGCAGTATTCTGTTGGTGAGGCCCTTGCCCACGGGGTACATGTCAGTCTGGCTCGTGCAACCTGGATGGGGGGAGAGAGGCGGAGACCAAGAGACCAAGACAGACAAGACATGATGAGCAGCACCCTGTTGGTCAGCCCCTTGCCCACTGGATACATGTCCGTCTGGCTCGTGCAGCCTGGTGGTTGGTTGATGTTTGGTTAACTCATGGGACACGAAGAGGGGCAGGGAGAGGGGCAGGGAGAGGGGCAGGGAGAGGGGCAGGGAGAGGGGCAGGGAGAGGGGCAGGGAGAGGGGCAGGGAGAGGGGCAGGGAGAGGGGCAGGGAGAGGGGCAGGGAGAGGGGCAGGGAGAGGGGATTCACGACGAGCAGCACAGCACTCAGTTGGTCGGTGAGGCCGAATGTACATTTCAGTCTGGCAAGTGCGAACCAGCAGAGAGAGCAGCAACCCCTCCCCAGCTGATTTCTGAGCGTCCAGCTGGGTGCTGCTATTTCTGAGCGTCCAGCTGGGTGCTGCTATTTCTGAGCGTCCAGCTGGGTGCTGCTATTTCTTCTCACACTAAACCCCGAGATCTCAGGACGCTCTAGTCTATGCTGAGGCCCACCCACGCTAAACGCATACTCCCTCACCCACTGTCTCTCACCTGTGCTGTGACCCGCACAAGGCGGTAACACCCTCTGTATCATTCGCCGGACCCGGCACCCGAATCCACGCAACAGTGTCCACCACCTTGCGGTCAAACCCTTCATCCCCCAGCAGCCCCTCCAGCCTCGTGCCTTGCCCCTGGGCCTCCCCCAAACCCCAAACCCCAAACCCCAAACCCCAAACCCCGGTATCACTCACATGTGAACCTCACGAGGCGATAACAAGCCTCGGTCTGATTGGCCGGCCCTGGCACACGAATCCGCAAAAACGTGCCCAGCACCTTGCGGTCAAACCCCCATCCGCCAGCAACCCCTCAAGCCTACTGCCTTCTTCTCCAACCCCCACCACTGATCCCCGGGTCCCCCGACCTACACTTGGTGCCCTGTGCTAAAAAAGCATACACACACTCCCTCCCCAGTATCACTCACCTGTGACTCGCACGAGGCAGTAACACGCTTCAGTCTGATTGGCCGGGCCTGGCACGCGGATCCGCACAAACGTGCCCACCACCTTGCGGTCAAACCCCTCATCCGCCAGCAGCCCCTCCAGCCTAGCGCCTTGCGCCTGGGCCTTCCCCAAACCCCAAACCCCACACCCCAGTATCACTCACCTGTGACCCGCACAAGTCGGTAACACGCTTCAGTCTGATTGGCTGGGCCTGGCACGCGGATCCGCACAAAGGTGCCCACCACCTTGCGGTCAAACCCCTCATCCGCCAGCAACCCCTCCAGCTGCCGTTTTTCCTCTGACTGAACCCCCCCTACGCTCTGTGCCCCACGCTAGAAAGTCGTACACCCCGATCTCACCTGTGACTCGCACGAGGCGGTAACACGCCTCAGTCTGATTGGCAGGCCCCGGGACACGGATCCGCACAAACGTGCCCACCACCTTGCGGTCAAACCCTTCATCCGCCAGCAACCCCTCCAGCTGCCTTCTCTTCAGAAACACCCCGCCCAGATTCGCCAGCGTCACAGCCGCATACCCACACTCAGGGCCCGGGGGGGGAGCGGGGGGAGGCGGGGGGAACGCGGAGGAGGAGGAGCGGGCGGATGGGGAGGGGCCGAAGGGATCGGTCACTTCAGGGGCGTCTGGGTCTGAGGAGGAGAACGGGTCAGAGGCGAATGGATCGGAGTAGCGGGTGTGGTTGGGTTCGGCGGCTGTAGCGGCGGCTGTAGCGGTGGTGGCTGATGGGTTGTCTCGAGAGGCCTTGGGGGGCCGGCCGCGCTTCCTCTTTCGCGGACTTGGCTCAGGGATAGCCCTTGACTCATAGTCTTGAGCAAATGGTTCTTCCTCCTCCTGTTGCTGCTGCTGCTTCTGCTGTTGCTGCTCCTTACCAATCTTCATCTGCTCTTCATTTTCTTCTTCTGCTAGGTCATGCTCCTGCGTCACTCCTTCCCTTGAGCTCCAATCCTTCTCCCACGAATCATCCTCCTCCCTCCTTCCCTCCCCTTCCTTTCCTTTCCTCTCCTCCTCCTCCTCCCCCTGCTCATCCCTCTCCCCTTCACCGTTGTCATACTCCTCTCCCTCGCCTTCCATCTCACCGTAACTCTTCAATCTCTTACCACCTCTCGTCACACTCTCCCCTCTGTTTCCCCTCCCCCTCCCCCTTCCCCTCCCCCTCCCCCTCCCCCGTCCCCTCCCTCTCCCTCTTCCCCTTCCCCGCCCCCTCCTCCCACCTGTTTCCCACTCCAAATCCCCCCCTTCCTCCTCCTCCTCATCTCCTCCTTCCTCCTCCTCTCCTCCTCTCGCCCCCTTCCCCTTCCTCTTCCCCTTCTCCCCCGCTCCCATCTTAGCAGCCTCCTCCTCTGCTAGCCGCTTCAGCAGCCGCCGAGGCACCTTGATAGAGCTCTTAACGGGGTAGTGCGTGGCGAGAGTGTAGTAGAACTGAGCCTGCATGCTTCTATCGGTATCGCAGAGAGCTTGTAACGCATCGTCGCACGTGATCCATTTGCCCTTCTGCAATCACCACCAGTGACAGAGAGAGAGGAGAAAGAGGGGGGCGATGGAGAGGAGGACAAACAGGAGAAGGGAGCCTAACAAAGAAAGAGAGATATGCATGTGATTTAATAACAGCGATTATCACCTGTTAGCACTTCTACAATGCAATTACTGCCTGATTATGATTTCTTGATGGAACATTGAGTACGCCCTATTGATTATTCTAAGTACCAATAGCAACCTGGTAGATGCAATGCAAGGTTGCCTTATGTGTGAGCGCAAAGAGAAAGATACGTGAGAAAGATGTATCATGGAGAAGCAAACATAGATGCAGATACGCCCACCCACCCGCACGCACGCACACATGCACACACGCGCGCACGCACGCACACAGGCACGACGCGTGCACCCGTTGCCTCAAGCACTCACCTGCAGGCCGTTGGCTTGAATGTATTATGTACCCTGCAACTATCCTCTTCACAGCCGACCAGTACAGAGGCACGTCCATACTCTCGCCCTCGCCTGCACCCCTTTGCCTTAAGCACGCTCACCTGCAGTCCGTTGGCTTGAATGTACCCTGCAACTACTTTCTTCACAGCCGACCAGTACAGAGGCACGTCCACACTCTCGCCTTGCAGCGGAGGAATGAGGGCAACTGCGTCAACACACACTACCTTGCACCCTGCTGCCCTGAGCATTCTCGAGAGCTCACCTGCAGTCCGTTGGCTTGGATATATCCTGCAACAATCTTTTTCACAGCCGACCAGTACAGAGGCTCCTTCACACTCTCGCCCTGCTCCTCCAGAAACGATAGCAGCGCCTCACTCGCCCACCCAGGGTACTCTCCCTCCGCCTCCCCGCCTTCCTCCCCCGCCTCTTCCCCCGCCTCCTCTCCTTCCCCCGCTTCCTCGCCCTCTCCTGCCTCCTCCCCCCACTCTCCTTCCCCTTCCACCCCTCCTTCCTTCTCTCCTTCTCCTCCCTCCCCATCCCCCTCCGCTTCATCCTGCCCAGCCACCCATACCTCCACATCCCCCTCGTCCCCCTCTCCCCCCTCCTCCCATTCCCCCTCCCCCCTCTCCCGCGCATCCCCCCACTCCCTCTCCCCTTCCACCTCTCCGCCATCCCCCTCTGCTTCATCCTGCCCAGCCACCCACACTTCCACATCCCCCTCCTCCCCCTCCCCCCCTTCCTCTCCCCATTCCGCTTCTCCCCCTTCCGCTTCTCCCCCTTCCGCCTCTCCCCCTTGCTCTCCGTAACCGTTCTCCTCCCCATTATCCTCCTCCGCTTCTTCCTCTCCACCTTCCCCTTCCTCTACGTTCTCTTCTCCTTCTGCCTCCGCCCCCCCTTCCCCGTATTCCTCCTGCTCCCCCTCCGCCTCCACCTCCGCCTCCGCCTCCTCTTCCTCCTCGTCCCCCGTTTGTGTCACAACCCCCGTGTCCGCCCTGTCGCTCTCCGTCCAGTCGTCTGGGCCCTCGGCAGAGTCACGCGTCGCCAGATCATCCTCGTTATTGTCGGCCGCCATAGTGCGTGCAGCGTCTGCGCCGGGGATTGTGCAGCACTTCTACAAATGACGCGGGCCACAGGCGAGAAACACACGATTTCACGTCTCCCGGCACCCAGCCGATTTCACTCGATTTCACGTCAATTCTGACACGACTCACGACGCGCCGTGGGTTGGGAGTAACTGTGCCGAGCCAACTGAGACTAGAACCAACCCTCGTCAAGTGGGTCGGTAGGGCGAAGCAGGGTTGGCGATTCGAGTGCTGAGGTAAGCCTGACGTAAGCTGTCTCGATTTTCTGAACACTTATTAATCACTGACACGTGTCCCTCTTTCTTCCTTTCTCAATTATTGTATAATAATTGCTTGAGCTGGTGCTTTGTTTCCTTTTGTTTTTTCTCCTTTTCTTGATCGCTCACAACTTCAACACACTTCAGTGGATAGGCAAACGTTAGAAAGTCGGTGCTTTTCTTTTACCCGCAATCCGCCGCCTCCTCTACAGCCTTGCCTCCCCGTTTCGCGCCGTCCAGGTGACAAATGGTTTAAGAAAATCGTGGATCGCGCATGCGATAAGTAGATCGTCGCTTGGTTGTTTGCCTTGAACAACGACAGACTTTATTTTCTTCGCCCGTCCTCCTTTTCCAAACATTCTCTTTGTTATATATTTATCTCTCGCTCCACCCTCCCCCTCAAGAAAAGCAAACCAGATCGCTCAGAAGAAGATTTGCCTGACAGGTGATTCTTTCAACAAATGCAAACGGCGATCCTCGAACCAAGCCGAAGAAATTGCAGAAAGATAAGCCCAAGCACAGGGAAGCAGAATGTTGCTTGAAAACCTTCAGTCCTTGCTTTGAGAGAAAAAGCAGACTCGTCAACCTTCCTCGACAGGGTTTGACGTGAGAAACCTCTAGGGATGAGCTATTGACGAGCGGGAGAGGTGGATGGAAAGCAGGCTCGAGAATCGTGACACAATCGAGCAGCCCGCTGATTTCGGCATTCAATCCATTGAGAAACTCGAGACGTCTCGTGTTGAATATAGCAACATCGAATTTGCGTATACATACCCAAATTACTGGTAGGATGATAACCGTCGATGTGGAAGTTGTAAACGGCCGAGATTACAAGCTTCTCTACTGGCTGAATGGGTGAAGTTGGAAAAGGTTGTAGTCTTAACCTTCTATGTGTTTTAATATGGACGGTTCAGATGATGCTTAAGACATGTTCAGGGCGAGTTTGCTAATGCGAAAGCGTTGGTGGCAACCCCCGTTCTGAAGTTAGCTTCCTCACCTCAGTGCGAAAATGCAGATCAGATGCTTCGATGGGGGAAACTGAAATGAGCTTCGTTCATCGTTCATTGTGGCGGTGTTCGCCAGCAAATTTCTAAGCAAAAACGAGGGGATGACGACGGGATCAGGAAGGTAAGTCTCGCCTTCCTGATCCCGACAGTTAGGGTTCGTTAACCTCCGTCAGCCTGGTCAGCCCGTAAAAATGCTGCCGAGCCTCTTATGCGGTGACAACAACAACAATTGACAAATGGAAGACGCTATGGTGACTGGTCCCATTCATGCGGTTGCCACCTTGAGGGTGGAGGGAACGCCAAGCTTGGAACTTGAGGGGTGGGGACCCACCCAGCGTGTGATTCAGCCATCCACCAGATTTTCTGACTGGACAAGCACTTCTGCTTCGTTAGATCCACCTTGAACTAATCCCTCTCATCTAGCACACCAGTGAGCATCGAGGCGCCATGGCAAGGAACGCGCGATTCGAGTATTCTCAGAGCTATTCCCAATCCTCTGCGAATGATTCGCTCACTAGAAGCCCAGCCCACTCTCTGCAGAGGGATCTTCGCGGGCGGACCTCGCGGCGATCTCGGAGCCCCTAGTCCAAACCGTGGAAGCACGCGCCCCTGCACGAGAGCGGAAAGCGGGAGCACGTGAGCGCAGCGGAAAGGTTGGCGGAAGGCTGTTGGCGAGAGAGCGGGAAGCTGGTTTGGTTTGTTGGTTGAACCAAGACGTCGATGAGAGATAGGGAGAACGGGATCGAACGGTAGATCTTGGAAACTATTGTCTCGAGGGAGTGGATTTCAAGTAGTTGCTACTGAAGCCCTGAAGAACGAGAGGTTCAAGCTTTCAGAAGAGTCTTGAAGCTTCAGCAAGAACAGGTGAATTCAGCCTTACGCCTTTCCTTTATAATTTGTTTTTGGTTACCTCTCCTGCAGCATTTTACCAGCTTTAGCGACATAGCTTCCAGATCTCCACCTTTCCATGCCGTTGATTGACGTAGCTGTTGCGATGGAGTCGAAGACGCACATCCATGACCTCCCCAATGACGCCGTGATTTCGATAATCTTCCCTTTTCCGTGAGCTGAAATTGACAGTGATGGAAAAGATGCTGGGTGGGGGGTCGTGAGTCCTGAGTTCAACTCGTGCATGAAGTTCGCACCTCGCATGCGGATGCCGACTCTTCCTGCCTACGCAGACGCCGCCTACAACCTCCTTGTCGCGTCGATCTGCCATCGCTGGCGGCGTCTTGCGCGGAGTCATATCAAGGCATTCCGCGTAGAAAAGGACGTGATCGTTTCTCGCGAGGATTTCTTTAGTGCTGTCGCTTGTTTCACACAGCTCACCCATCTGCATCTGAGCGGTCCAAGCGTGAAGATTGTCGACGACGACTTCCTCGCTCGCCTAGTGGCCTCGTCCTGCCGTCATCTGACAGCATTCCATGTGGACAAGTCCTACCCGATATATAAGACCCCGTTTACTGAAGCTGGCCTGGATAGTTTTTTCCTTCACTTCTCTCAGCTAAAGGAGCTGTCGCTGCGCTGCCTGCATCGAGATTTCATGCTACCAGACTCAGTGTTCGAGTTATCACACTTGCGCATTCTCGTCTTGAGCAACTCTCTCGTCCTTCAGGGTCGAAAGCTGATGGACTTGTCTTCTCTCACCACCCTCTCCGTTGACTCCTATTGTCTAAAAAATGACCAGGTTGCCAGCCTCGTCTACCTTTCAGGCCTCACCAGCTTGTCCTTGTAGGAAGATTGTTATTTCTCCGAATTAGACTCATCGGCGGCCTTAAAGTTCTCAGATCTACCTTCTCTTGAGGTTTTGGATTCTGGATTTCACTATGCTCACCTGCTTTTTTCAGAGTCGCCGTGTAAGCACCTGAAACGGTTGGTTTTCTACAAGTGCCTGATTGAACGGCTTCTTGACAATGTTGCAGAGGTGCTACCATGCCTGTGGGAGCTCTGCCTCTTCTATTGTCACAATTTCACCGATCTGACAGAGGAGTTCGCTTCTTTAGCATGTATGGAGAGCTTGACAATTTGCGAGTGCCATTGCATGTTCCACCTACCAGAGAATTTTGGAAGTCTTCAATCGCTGAAAAGATTGGTGTTGCGCTTACTGCCATTGCACGATCTTCCTGTCTCCTTCTGCCGGCTTTCCTCTCTGGAGACCTTATTCGTGGTCAGCTGCTCTGAGGTGGAGTGGCCGCCTGAGTGTCTTGGCTTCCTTACATCGCTCCAGTTTCTGTGCCTGAATAAGTGTTACAAGCTGAAGCTTCCAGAAGACATTGGAGGGCTGACCAGCCTCCACACTCTCCTCTTGCAATGGAATGATGCAGAGCAGCCGCTTCCGCCTTCATTCACGCAGCTGTCGTCCCTGACAGATTTGGAGCTTCTCGATTGCCGCATAGCGGAGCTTCCTGAAGGCATGGAGCAGCTGAGAAATCTTCGTGTGCTCAATATTCGGAGCCGCTCGAAGCTGAAGGAGGTGCCGGACTCTGTCACAGCCCTTGTTAACCTTCAAATTTTGAAGGTTGAGAACTGCAGCAGCCTCAGTACAATGCCAAGGCGTCTGGACAGTCTTATCAGGCTGGAGCAGTTGAAGCTGAGCGGATGTGAACAGTTGAAAGAAGCTCCGATTCTTTGCCGCTCTCTCTCCAGGTGCTAAGCTTGGACAACTACGAGCAGGTTCTGAACGTTGCAGATCTATCTCGCCTGGAAAGCTTAAGCCTCAAGCTGACACCTGTTGCGGAGGAGCTTTCAATTCCATTGGCATGTCGTTCTCGCCTCCTCACTTTGAGCATTGAGCGTGCTGAACGACTGAAATGTCTTCCGGGGTTGTCGACTTTAGAGGTGCTGCAGGAGCTGGACATACTCACGGCTGAAGAACTGACCGAGCTACCATCAACCATCACCAACCTCCAGAACCTTACGTCCATTTGCATTTTAGCACCAAAATTGTGCTCCCTTCCTGAGAAGATCGGGGCCTTGTCCGGATTGCGCAAGCTGGATTTGTCCGACTGCTCCTCCCTCGAGCACTTCCCTGCCTCATTCACCCAGCTCTCCTTCCTCCGTCAGCTGTACCTAGAGGGAACCTCTATTTCTTCCTTTCCTGCCAACTTTTCTCAGTACAGCCGACTCACAAGTCACAGTGGCTGCCCTAAGCCGGATGAGGACGTAACAACTCAAGGTGCTCCATAGTGTGAAACTTGACGAGTTGGACATTAAGGATGCATGCTTGTATATAGCTGATGTACTATAAGGGGTTTGTTAGTTAGAGATTGCACCGCTGTTTTTTGTTTTACTGAATTCCTCTGTCTGCTCCTCATCCTGCTTTGTTGCGTCAACATGCTTTTCATTCTACTTGTTAGCTCTTCAATGCTTAGTTGGACTGGGTCCTCCATATCATGGTCCCAGCATTGTACTTGCATTATTAGAAGCATGGTCCTGGCATGGTCCTGGCAAGGTCCTAGCATGGTCCTGGCATGGGCCTAGCATGGTCCTGGCATGGGCCTAGCATGGTCCTGGCATGGTCACTGCCATCATGCCATGTGTCGTTAGTGTACTGTGCCTTGTGCTCTAGCATTATTAGTGTCATTTCATGCAGTGCTTGATGCTGCAAGAAAACCATATTAATTGGCTTGTCTTAAGCAAGGAAAGGCAAGTTCTGTTCAGTTCAATTCACTTCAGTTTTCACTGCACTTGAAAGGATTTCCCTTGCGTCGAATCAGTGGTTGTCGGTGGTGTAGGGTGCAAGAAACACTCTTGTGCTTCCAGCCACTCTCCCAGACATTTTCAGCCCACTTCAACCTCCACTTTCACCCCACATTTCCCTATTCACTCTCCTCTGCCCATGCAGTTAGAGAAGGCCCGCATCCACACTCTCTCCCACTGATTTTAATACATGTCAAAACTCTCCCCCCCACTCCTCCCTCCCACCCTCCGTTTCTTATCTGCTTCTTCCACGTCCCCACTATTCACTCTCGATCTGGTTGCGAAAGCCCACGTGCAGACGGGCAGGACCATCTCTTCTGAGCCCCCCTTTGCCCACCTCCCCCTCCTCCCTTCATAGCCCCACTCCTCTCCTGAATCCTGCCTCGCCGCCTCCTCTTCCACGTCTAATCCTCCCTCCACTCCTCCAACCGTAATTATGAGTCTCACGATTTGTCCCACCCTACTCCCTCTCCCCTCTCCCCATCTCCTCCCTATTATCTCTAACCCCTCTCAAGTATCACCCCATCTTCCGTCATTTTCACTGCGTGTCAGGAGCTTCTGGCGCATGGGAGGGCTGTGAGCATGGCTGTTGGGGGCAATGAGGCGGGCCTACAGCAGAATCTGCTATTTCCGCCTTTCCTCTTCTTCGAACTAACAGCCAAGACATCAAACATCACAACCGCCACTGCCATGACATCCTGCACCAGCATCAATCAAACGCCTCGTTCCCTGCTCGACCCTCCTCACCGAACCCGCCCGGCCATCTGCCCTGGTTCAAACTCCGCAAAGGCTTTCTGGCTGCGACACTGCCTGGTCCCGCCCCAGGCCGCTAAAACCGGCGAGGCGGCTGGTGAAGGCAGTTGGGGGCGTGTTCCTGGATGTTGACCCTATGACCACTTTGAGACCCGACGGGCACATCCGGCCGCCCTCTGACTGCCTGCAGTACTGCCTGCCAGGGCCTCCGGATGAGTGGACCCGGATGCTCTACCACATGCTGCTGGACCTGATTTGACCTGCGTTGACCTTCTTTGACCTCGTTTGACAAAGATTGACATGTCGTGGATCTGGGCTGACGTGCTTACGGTCGTACTGGGATTTCGGGATGCAACTTCCTAGTTGACAAGCATCTGCCAGTATTGTTCTGGTGTGCAGGTATTTTACGGTACTTCAAAGGCTGTGTGTGTCTGTGGCAAACGGTTGCTGTTGCTTGAACCGTAGCTTTCCAGGCAGACTCAGAGGTCACACAAGTGTTTGGATTGGAGTTCATATGGTAACTGGCAAAACACCTTGCAACTTAGACGCGCAACAATGCAATGAAGAATGCATCTACCACCAGCATCCAAGATATCTGTCTGTACCCACTAACATCAATTTGACACACATTTAGCTGTAGAACACAATACTACTTCGAGCTCTGTACATTAGGGAATATGTACAAATATTTACGGTGCTTGAATGGTACGTTACTGTCCCCTACCCCTCAGCGCTTCCTCACGATGGCAAGATTTCACTCACTGCATCATCAGCACCACGGCTTGGGCCAGGACCAGCATCAGCGCCGTTGATGCCACGTGAATCGTCGCCTGGTACGGAAGATCTCCAAAGTCCATAGTACTCTTCAAGGGCTTTCCCGCAGCAGTATGATCAGACGTGGCGTCTTCGTATTCTTTTGTGTCGCGGGAGGAACCTGCCGCAGTCCCAGCGACGGCAAACACGATCCCGTCTAGGCGACGCGCCAAACTGATCCCCTTGGTCGTGGCGATGAGAAACGCGACCAGCACGGGCCACGACATGCGCCCACACGCGAACAAGGCCACCGCCATCACACCAACCGCGCATTGCACGAATCTATATAGTCGCGCCACCCGATCTGGTCCCAAACGTGCGGTCAACGTGATTTTGCCGCACTGGAGGTCGGAATCGATGTCGGGAAGATTCATGACCATCATCCGCACCAACTGCTGCGCGCACAGCAGCGGGATGATCGCGCGAAGTGACGTGGGGAGCACGAACGCGTCATCGTCGCGGCGCTGCAGCGCGCCCATCACGGGAACGCCCCACGTCAGCACGGCGGCAACAGTCGCTTCGCCCAAGCCGCGATAGTGGAGCTTGAAGGGCGGCGCGGTGTACGCCCACGAGAGGAAGAGCGTCGCGCACGCGACGCACTGCGCGGGGGCGCGGAAGAACGCGAGCTGAGTGACGACGCTCCCCATGAGGAGCACGTTCGCCGCGGCGAGCGCCAACCAGCGCGGAAGCAAGCCCTCGGGGAGCACGCCCGAGCCGCCGTTCCACTTACCGCGGTGCTTGTTCGCGAGATCGGCTTCGAAGTCGAAGTATTCGTTGTAATAGTGCGTCATGACGTGCGTGCATGCCACGAACAGCGCCACTGGAACGAAGCTGTCGATGCGGAAGCGGAATTCATGGTGGTGGTGGCTGATATCGCGTGAGAGCGCGCCCATGAGCGCGAGCATGGACGAGTACGGGATGAACTTGAGTCGACCCAGTCGCATGAAAGCGCGGAAGGACGACATTTTCTTGCTTTCTGTCTCTGCTGCTCTAGCTGGTGGGAGCAAGATCGTGAGTGACTGTCTCTCTTGTTAGGTTGATGCTGGCGGTGAGTCTTCACAACGAATGAACAAGGAAGCAAAACAAATCCTCCCATACGTATGAAGATTGGGATGCATGGGCGAAAGTTTGCGAGTCACATTTCGTGAATGATGGCGTGACGACAAAAGTAACCACGGAAAACGAAATGTCCAGCGACAGTGTGTTTCCTGAATCTGCTTGCTTGAAATGTCGTGAACAGCCAAATGGGTTGCAGCGTGACACCGACTCGCAGGCACCGGCATTCCATTTTTTTTTTTTTTGGGCGGCTCGATGTCCATGTGTTTCAATTCGAGTCAACCCTAGGATGGAATTCTAGGGTGGCGAACCAGGACGCGTAAATCGCGGATGGGCCACAGAAATGCAGCAACCTCGAAAGGGTTTGTGTTACTCGCCTTTGTACCGAATCTCCCTAAACGAATTTTGACTTGAAGTCGCTCCAGAAACGACTATATCGAAACCGTGTCTCGGAATTGTCGATGGCTGATCTAGTAGGAAACCAAGCAAGGAAGCACGCAACAGCCATGGATGGATGTGGCACAAAGTGACGTGAATGTCTACCACCGACAGTGTTCGTACTTCTTTCGCCGCTTCAGCTTAGCGACAGCAGCAGCAGCACGGACGGTGACAGCGATGCGGACATCAATAGCGAGAGAGTTAGGATGCGATTCACACTCTGGGGTCTGCTCCGGCTGAGCGGCGCCGACACTCACGCTCCGGCTTGTTTCATATCAGAGGTCAATTTCCGTCTTTAACCGCCGCGATGCAGCTCATGTGTCTATTTTTTCCGACATGCCTTCCACCTTGTTCTGCTCGGACGACGAAAGGCGGTCTTCTGTCGAAGAGCCTTGTGAAGACCTAACCTGTGCTTCAGACAACCCTCATGCGGGCGCGCGGGAGGTCCCTTTGCCTTGCGTCAGACTTTTCAGAAGAGAATTCCACTGACAGACCTTACGTTACCCTACCTTACCTTACCTTACCTTTCCTTACCGGTCCATGCTACCTTCGTAAGGGCTCGGTGTGCGTTGCTTCGGCAGACCCTTGGAGGCGAGGCTCACCTGATTCTCGCAGTCGCAGAGCTTGTTTGTAACCTGCCCTGCACGCAATTTTACCGTCACGTTGCTAGTGTTGAAGTCGAGCGACGCTTTTTTCGTTGCGAGTCCCACTCGCTCTCTCCTGTCTTCTGTGACTCTGCTAGTACAGTAGCGGTGCTGTCGTCGCGCGTGGATTGCGCAACGTAGATCGCCATGATGACGACGGCGAGTATGGTTCCTCGCGGCCTATCGAACGGCGAGCTGAGCGCGCAGGGAAGCGACCGATCTCAGTTCCGTGACCCATATCAATCTTATGACCGATTTAAAAGACCGATCTGTGTTCTTCCCAGCAGTGGTTAGCCTGAAGCTCAACGTGACAGCAGAGCAGCAGCGGTCTTTCTCTCCCGAGCAGTAGTATAGTAACCAGCTCCTGCGTGGCGGCGTTTTCGCGCTGTACAGGCAGTCGTTCGATCGTTCGTGCTTCTGATTCTTCCTAGTCTTGCATGATACCAGTTTTACGTGAGGTGAAGCGCATTAGTACCGTCTCTCGCCTCGCTCCTCGTTCGTGCGAGCTGAAATTGGTGCTGCTGATGGCTCGATCAGTCTGCGCAGGATTCGTTTTGCTCGTCAGCACCTCGCTCCTCCTGACGGGTAAGCCACCCGGCATGGTGCTCTTTTTGCTTCCACTGTTCCTTCCGGACTCGAATAGTGTTTTCCTCCTTTAGTTGTTCGGAAGAAAGAAGATTGGACGCGGGATTTCGTTTCTTACCAGACAGCTAGTTAATCGGCGCAATCAGCTTCACAGTCACGCGCTTATTCCAAACTCTCACGCTTATTACAAACTCTCACGCTTATGCTAAACTCTCACCTCCCCTCCTCTCTTCGTCTCCTCGTTCCCTCCCCGTCCCTCCTTTCGCGTACTCACCAATACCTTTCCTGATCGTCCCATCCTTCCCTGCCCCCCCCTCCCTCCCTCCCTCCCTCCCTCCCTCCCTCCCTCCCTCCCTCCCTCCCTCCCTCCCTCCCTCCCTCCCTCCCTCCCTCCCTCCCTCCCTCCCTCCCTCCCACCCTCCCTCCATCCCTCCCTCCCTCCCTCCTTTCCTCCCTTCCTCGCTTCCTCCGCTCCCTGCTGATCCTATTCACCATATTTCCCATCCTTCCCATCCGTCCCCGCCCTTCCCCGCCTTTCCCCGCGCGTCTTCCCCTTCCCTTCCCCTCCATGCGCAGCTGCCTGGCTGCAGCAAACCCAGGTGAGCCGCCCCGCCCTTCTCCCCTTCCCCGCTTCCCCGCTTCCCCGCTTCCCCTCCCTTCCCTATGCGTCCTCCTCCCCGATCACCTTCCCCTCCATGCGCAGCTGCCTGGCTGCAGCAAGCACAGGTGATTCGCCTCGACCTTCCTTCCCTTCTCCGCCCTTCCCTACCCTTCCCCGCCCTTCTCCGCCGTTCCCTACCCTTCCCCGCCCTTCTCCGCCCTTCCCCGCCCTTTTCTGCGCCCCCCCAAACCCCCCCCGCCCCCCTCCCCCCCTTCTTTTCCCTCCATGCGCTGCTGCCTGTCTGCAGCAAGCACAGGTGAGTCGCGAAATCTGGCCTCTTCTGCTGGTAACCCTATCGTCACTTTCGTTTTCCAGTCCCTAAACAGTCGCCGTTGCTGATACATCTCGCGTCTTCGTGCTTTCACATTAATTCACTTTGACATATTTGTTCATTTGGTGGCGTATGGGGTTCCAGAGTGCAGAACACCAACTGTTGATTGATACTCTTTAAACTCAAAACATCAAGTGCTGTCACTATGCGTTTGGTCTAAGCATTATCTGCAGTCGTCAGTCATCTTCGTTTGATTCTAACTGTTACTTCCACACATTAGGTCGCCCTGTTCACCAACCCTTGGAAATCCTTCTTATCCTTTGAAACACCTTGATGGGTCGGAAGAATTCTACCCTCCACCCACCAGGCTGCCTCGTAAGCCATTGCATAGTGGGTAGCAAGCAAGGATGCCAAGGGTACCACCACCCTTCCCTTGGCTCTGAACTATGTTTTCCCTGGCTCTCTGTTTTCTCTGGCTCTCTGTTTTCCCTGGCTCTCTGTTTTCCCTGGCTCTCTGTTTTCCCTGGCTCTCTGTTTTCCCTGGCTCTCTGTTTTCCCTGGCTCTCTGTTTTCCCTGGCTCTCTGTTTTCCCTGGCTCTCTGTTTTCCAACCACCAGGCCGCCACCTACACGATCCCTTGGGATCTTGTCAGGACGAGAGGGGTGCGGCCTCTGGATCTGGTCACTCGTGGCGATACAATCGGTAGGTCCTCCAAACCCGGATCTGTACCATACCACTTGACTCTCCATATCACACCTCTTGAGACGTCTAAAAATTTGATCAATCGTGCCGATACAATCTGTGGGTTCTCCAAATTCGGATCTGTACCATACCACTCGACTCTCCATATCACACCTCTCCAACTCAACTCACACCACTTCGTATCTTTCTGCGTGAAAGTGGAGTAACAATGAGTTGCATTGTCCCATGTAGTATGACTATGCATGCCTCTCCACCCATGCCTTTCTCAGATTTATCCTTGAGTGAATTATACGAGTATCTGTTTTTTCTTCTTTTCCTTTCCCATTCTTATCATGACCCATGAACCATTACCAAGCAATATCATTATTAGCCATCACCGTGCATCATCAGCAATAGAGCCATAGCGCATGTGGCATGATGCAGTGAATTATTATCCAATTACCATCAACTGTACTATGTGTCTTGTCCCCGTGCCCATCCCTCAGTGTTCAAGTGGACGGACCTGGCGTGGCATGATCTGTGGATCATGGACGATGAGATGAGGAGATGTTCAAGGTGGATTGTTCTGTGCTCATCACTGCACATGTGACATGCCTGATATCCTCTGTTCAACCATCTCAACCCCGCAGTGTTCAAGTGGACGGACCTGGCATGGCATGATCTGTGGATCATGGACGATGAGAATGTGCTCATGTGGAATGATCATTGTTTCTATTCACACTGCTCGCAGTGTTCAAGTGGACGGACCTGGCATGGCATGATCTGTGGGTAATGGACGATGAGAAAGCGTTCAAGAATTGTGACTTCACTCGGGCAAAGCGCCTCCGACCGCTTGGTGTTGGCGGGCAGTACACGTGAGTTGGGGCAGCACGCGAAAATAATGGGGTAGTTTGGGCAAACCCACGGCAGCACGAAAAGATTCTGGGCAGTATAGTTTCAGAATGAATGAATAATGAATCTGTGCCAATATCCATGTTTTTAAACGTTTTTTTTTTTTCATGTTTAATTCTTTTTGATTGCAAGCAACAGTTCGGCACCTCCTGAAATCATAAGCCCCCTGCAGATTCCATTATTGCAGCGAACCACAAGCAACTAGCTGACTGTGGCTTGTATTGAGGTCATTTTAGAGGTGCACCTTCCTGCGAGGCCTCTCTGATTTTAGATCAACTAGCCGATTGCTGGTTGTGGCTTGGCACCCTTCCTGCGACTTGCTTGCCACTTCAACCCATCAGCCCTGCCCTAGCTTCTGCACCACCGTTGCCTTTTATCGCTATCACCAGCAATCTTAGTTTCTGCCAACCATGTCAATCAAAGTCCCACTATATGCCGTCCCTCATCATCTCGCTGTGGCTGGCAGGTACAAGGTGGCTGTCATCTGGGAGTTTTATCTGCTCTATTTTGCCTCAAGTGGCATCCTCGTTTTGAGGCGTTGCAAAGCACTATCAGAATCTCACTGTTGTAAATTCCATCCCTCGCCATCTCCCTGTGGCTGGCAGGTACAAGGTGACTGCCATCTGGAAGTTCTATCCTCTCTATTTCGCCTTAATCTCACTGTTGTGAATGCCGCCCCTCACTCTCCCTGTGGCTGCCAGGTACAAGGTGACTGCCATCTGGGAGACTTTTCCGCTCTATTTCGCCTCGAGTGGCATCCTGCAGTGCCGCTACTACAAGGTGAAGCTGTCAGTCGTGGTCCACAACCTTGGATGATCAGAGAAAGATCATCCTAGATCACTTTCGGAGGCAATGTTTATGGATCAAGTTTTAGCTTTCCGCTCTGTTTCACCTCTAGTCTAGTGGCATCATGCAGTGCCAAGTGAAGCTTTCAGTTGTGGTGCAGAATACGTCACTTGAGATACAGGTCAGGTTACACTCTGCAGCATTGCCAGTCACATATTGTACAGTCATCATCCTGCAGTGCAGTTGCTACACAAAATGTTCACACACGCTGTACGCTATCTAACAGTTTCGTCAATACACTTTGTATGGCAAATGCCAATCACTTATGCGCATTCAGGCTGAACCATCACATAAAAAATCGCAGTACATCAGGGTCTGTAACGTCATGGCCAGATTCTATTGCAGGATCGTGCGCAGAACTTTTCGACAGTATCAGAAGCATCTGTGTAAACACCCTTTCCCACCTTTCCCTCTTCCACAGGCCCCAGCTCATGAATTGCAGGGAATGTACAAACCAGAGTTCGGTGAAAGACATTCTATCCCTTTGTGAGCTTATATATATGAGGTCAATGAACGATATCGAACGAATTCCTGCGTCAGCTCTTGGACAATGTCCACATTCGAATCCATGTTGGCCGCCAGATTTCGGATTCACCCATAGAGCCTTGACGTGGCGTGGTGCAGCCAATCTGCTGCGTCCCTGGGTATTGGCCTTGGCGAAGCCGAACCCATCCGACGAATCGCGTATAGCCTGCCATCCATCATCCCGCGCCAGGATTCGTCGCTCCAGTCTCCAGATAGAGCCTCGGGGAACCTCTGGCCTGTCGTGTTCTAGGTTCGGAAGAGTCTAGCTCTTCTTGCCACGCAGACTAACCAATTACAGACGTAGATTCGGTTCGGTGAAAAGCCTCGAAATTCGAGAAGTCTGATGAGCTCGGGGCGCATTTGCAGCTGTTGTAAATGCTTTGCGCTTGGAGCCATGGCGGATTTTCCCGAGTCCTAGGTTAGCCGCTCGCGATTGCCTGATGCTCGTGCCTCCACTCCTCGTAACGAACGATAGGAGTTATATGGTGTGTCCCGTCTCTCGTAGGAGCGGATTCGGTCACTTTTATTAGCCCCAATCACGAAGTAATACGTTTTCTTCTTCCTGTTTCCCGGGCCCAATTTGAATTCCTTTTCCATCCTGTTCGCGGATCAGTAGACTTTCTATTGATCATGACCGCGGCTATGGCTAGACTGGCAGCATCCCTACCTATGCGGTACGTCACGGGCAGCGTACCGAACGGAAATGCCTCTCAGTCCTCACCGAAATCGTCCGCCATTCTATTACGAAAATCGAATCTGAGGATACGGAACCCGGCATCAGTTATAGGAGAGCGACTGGAAACTCGGAACCGCAGATTTAGCAGGCGGATCGTGCGATCGAGGGCGGAAGATGGGTCTTCAACTGCTAATGGCGGCTCGCAAGCCGATAGTGAAGCTGTAAATTCGGTGAAATCCGAAAAATCTGGCGTGGCTGGCGAGAGCAGCATTCCTGTGCAGGCACAACCAGAGAAAAATAAGGATATTGATGAAGAGAAGGAGCGGGAGAAGGAGCGGCGGAGGCAGCAAGCGCTGCGGCAGGCGGCGAGACGAGCGCGGACGCCGCCAACCACCGCAAGCGGTGCTGGCGGCGCCAGTGGTGGCAGCGGGGAGAGCGGGAAGGAGGGCGAGGGGGCGGTGAAGGGGGGACTGCTGATGGGACTGGCGGAGGCCATCGAGGACGCGTTTGGCGCTACCAGCGAGGGGCGAGGCGAGGTTGACAAGCTGGATATCAGCAAGGTGAGAGCGGGTGAGGGGTGGGTATGTGTGTGAGAGCGGGTGAGGGGTGGATATGTGCGTGAGAGCCGGTGAGGGGTTGCTATTGGGTTGAGATGTTTCAAGGGACTGGTGAGGCGGGTGAAAGAGGCTATGACATGAAGGGGTGGTGATGGGGTTCTGAAGGGGTGGTGATGGGCTATGAAGGGGTGGTGATGGGGGTCTGAAGGGTGCTCCTGATGGGGCTGGCGGAGGACATAGAGGACGGGTTTGGTGCTACCGATGCTGGAAGGCGGCAGTTGACAAGCTGGAAATTGCCAAGGTGAGAGCCGGTGAGAATCGGTGAGGGGGGCGGCTATGGGATGGGTATGCGTGTCAGTCACGTGAGGTTGAAGGAAGGAGGTCTGCTGATGGGGCGCTACCGACGGTGGGAAGGGGGCAGCTGACAAGCTGGATATCGCCAAGGTGAGAGCCGGTGAGGGGTGGGTATGCGTGGGAGTGTTACTCAAGGGAATGATGAAGGGGCAGTGAAGGAAGTGGGGTGGGGGGGCGTTTACTGAGGGGGCTGGTGGAGGGTATTTGCCATTGGCGATGGTGGGAAGGGTGTGGTTGACAAGCTGGATATCGCAAAGGTGAGACTCGTTGCCGGGAGGGGGAGATGAGCAATGAGGAATCACCCGAGTCACTCGCGGGTGACGGGGCAGGAAGGGAGCAGTTGACAAGCTGGATAGATACCACCCAGGTGATTGAGCGCCGGTGAGAGATGGGTATGTGTGGAAATCGATGAGAGATGGGTATGTCTGTGAAAGTCACTTGAGGGAGCATTAATGAGAGTAAGTACGTCTGCGAGCGATGCTATGTGACCGTCATTCCTGTGTGCCCATCTCAATGAAACTCCTGCTTTTTGTGTGCAGTTGCAGAAGAGGACCATCAGCGTGGTCTGCCGTGTTCCTCCCCTGGGGAAAAACGTGCAACCTTCAGTCGCTCGCATGGGTACCTTTGACGATGATTTTCATTGTCGGCATTGATCTTCACACAAGCGACGGAAGATTGCAACTTGTTTTCCCAGAGGGCGAACACGGCAGATCACAATGATGGTCCTTTTCTGCACCCCTTCCCTCCCCATTCCCTCTTGATTTTTCTTCGCCTCTCCCCTTCTCACCAATAGCTCCGCACCTCTTTCTCCTGCACGAACTTCTGGCCCACTGGCTCCCTACCCTACGGTCCAGGCGCATTGTTCACGGCCCCTATCTCCTCTCCTTCCCATACCTTCCCATACCTTCTCACCTCTTTCTTACCTCTCCCAACCCCCACCCCCCCATCCCACCCTCACCCACCTCAGCTCCGCACCTGCTTCTCCTACACGGATTTCTGGCCCACAGACTCCCGTCCCTATGGCTCGGGTGCGCTGTTCACAGGCAATCTTCGTTCCCTTCCCCTTTCTTCCCATTTCTTACCTCTCCCCCCGCCCCTCTCTCCCTCACCCTCTCAGCTCCGCACCTGCTTCTCCTACACGGATTTCTGGCCCACAGACTCCCGTCCCTACGGCTCAGGCGCACTGTTCACTGGGAACCTGCGGGCTGCTGACGTGGCGGACGCGCGGGAGAGGCTGGAGACAAAGCTGGCCGAGGGTGCTGGTTGCCCTGTGGCGGTTTTCTTCCTGAAAGACGAGCGGCGAGAGAAGGAGGTGTGTGCTTGCTTGTAGTGAAAGGGGCGTGGGCTGCATACTCGGCACCAGCAGGTCAGGTGAGAGGGGAGAGGCTGGAGACAAAGCTGGCCGAGGGTGCTGGTTGCCCTGTGGCTGTTTTCTTTCTCAAGGATGAGCGGCGAGAGAAGGAGGTGTGTGGTGCGAGCAAGGTTTTTCTGAGAACTCTAAAAAACGCGGTGCGTGGTGCGAGCAAGGAGGCGAGTCCGTCAGTTGATTGTTGTGGTGCTGGGTGGGGGGCAACCTAGCTGGCCGAGGGTGCTAGTCGCCCCGTGGCTGTGTTCTTCCTGAAAGACGAGCGGAGGGAAAGGAGGTGTATTTTGTTGTGGGTGTGGGGCAGTGTGCTGTTTGTGGGTCACTAGTGGGTCACGGGTGAGGAGAGGCTGTTGAGGGGAGAGGTTGGAGGCGATTCTGGGTGCGGCTTCTGGGTGCCATCACTCTTGGGTCACACTCTGGTCACACTCTGGTCACACTCGGGTCACACTCGGGTCACACTCTGGTCACACTCGGGTCACACTCTGGTCACACTCGGGTCACACTCTGGTCACACCCGGGTCACACCCGGGTCACACTCGGGTTGCACTTGGATCATTCTCAAGTCTGTCTCGGGTCTCTTTCAGATTTATCACTCGTGGTCACACTCCGTTCACTCTCGGTTCACCCTCAGGACACCCTCGAATTCATCACTTGCCGCTGATCCTTCACCGACTTTACCACTATCTCCCTCTGGCCACCCTTCGTCTTCCACTTCCCCCCCCCGGCCCTCATCCCGATCCCCATTAGGGGTGCATAGTGGGTCCAGGAGTTGAAGTCCTGCCATGCGTTCTCTCCTCACCGATCTCACCGCCCTCTCAAATCCATCACTCGCCGCCTATCCTTCACCCACTTTATCACTCTCTCCCTATGGGCATCCTTCGTCTTCCATTTCCGCTCCCGCATTCCCAAACCATCCCCATCAGGTGTGCATAGTGCAACAAGTATCCTCCATCAATCGCCGTCTCGCCCTCAACCAGTCTCACCGGCCTCTCCTGCTGGCCCCTGCTGTTACTCTCCGTCCTCTTCTCCCTTATATTCCCCACTTGCACCCTTCTCTGCTTCCCCTTTCCCCGCTTTCCTCTTTCCCCATTGGCCCATTTCTCAGGTGTGCATAGTGCAACTAGTATCATCCATCGATCGCCGTCGCGCCCTCACCACTCTCACCGGCCGCTCATGCTGCTCTCCCTCCTGGGCTGCCTCGCCATCACTGCTCCCTTTTTCCCTCTTCATCCCATGCCCCCCTCTCCCGCTGGCCTCTCATGCCCCTCCCTTCTCCTCTCCCGCTGTCCCTCATTCCCTTGCCCCCAACCACCCATCAGGTGTGCATAGTGCAACCAGTATCATCCATCGATCGCCGTCTCACGCTCACCACTCTCACCGGTCTCTCCCGCTGGCCGCTCATGCTGCTCTCGCTCCTGGGCTGCCTCGCCACCACTGCCACTGTCTCTGGTGTCAATCTCGACCCCTATAAAGTTGGGCTTGGGGAGTCAGCTCACCACGCCCTCCCTTTAACCCTCGGCCTTGCCACAGTCATCGGTGTGGGAGAGGTGCGTTCTTTGCCTTCAAACGGGCTTTGCCTTCAAACGGGCTTTGCCTTCAAACGGTCTTTGCCTTCAAACGGGCTTTGCCTTCAAACGGGCTTTGCCTTCAAACGGGCTTTGCCTTCAAACGGGCTTTGCCTTCAAACGGTCTTTGCCTTCAAACGGGCTTTGCCTTCAAACGGGCTTTGCCTTCAAACGGGCTTTGCCTTCAAACGGGCTTTGCCTTCAAACGGGCTTTGCCCTCTCTGTCCCGCTTGCCCTCTCTGACCCCTATGGACCACCACTGCCACCATCTCATAGGAAAGTCTTTACACCATGCCCTCCCCTTTGCTCTCAGTCTTGAGGCCGTTGTGGGAGTGAGTGAGGTGAGTAGTGCTTTCTATCAGAACCCACCTCTATCAAAGCGTATTTGCACCTCTCCCCAGCCTACCTCACTCTCCCTCCCTCATTGCTTCTTCCTTGCCCACCTTTGTCCTGCCCACACCCTCAGCTCTTCCAGTGCATCATGGCGGGGCGATACGGGGTAAAGCTCTCCCCTCCCCGCCCTACCTCCTCCCTTCCTTTCTCACACACATTCGTTACCTATTCCTCCCTACTCACTCTCCATCCGACCACCCCAACTCACCCCAGCTCTTCCAGAGCATCACGGCAGAGTGATCCATCACGGCAGAGTGATCCATCACGGCTTTTACACGGGGTAAAGCTCTCAAGCTCTCCCCGCCCGCTCTACTGTGCCTGCCCATGAATTTTACTCCCTCCCTCCCCTGCATCTCCTCGATCCCTCCCCAAACCCCACTTACCCCTGCTCGTCCAGCACACCATGGCCCTACCTCCTTCCTCCTTCGATCTCGTCCAGCACACCATGGCGGGGCAATGCAGAGTGAAGCTCTCCCCGCCCTACCTCCTTCCTCCCTTTCTCACACACACACGCTGCCCAATCCCCCCTCCCTGTGTCTCCATACCCCCCTTCCCCCCAGATCTTCCAACGCATCATGACCGGAAAATACGGGGTAAAGCTCTCCCCGCCCTACCTTGTTTTCACATGCATTGTCCTCCCACTTCCCCCCCCTCCTGCATTCCCCCTACCCCCCTTCCCCCCAGATCTTCCAACGGATCATGGCCGGGCGATACGGGCCAAAGCTCTCCCCGCCCTACCTCCACCCCAACCCACCTTGCTTACCCACGCGCCGTCCTCCCTCCCTCCCTGCATTCTCGCACCACCTGCACACCAATAGGTCTTCCAGCGAATCATGGCAGGGCGATATGGGGTAAAGCTCTCCCCGCCCTACCTATGGCTCTCCCCCCCTCCCTCCTCAACCCATCCCCTGCATTACCCACCTAACCCCTGTTTCCCCCACCAGATCTTCCAACGGATCATGGCAGGGCGATACGGGGTAAAGCTCTCCCCGCCCTACCTCCTTCCCGGCCCCCTGGGCTGCCACGGCACTGCCACTCGCTTCGAGTCCCTCCTGCCCTCCTCCCGGGTAAGTGGTGACTGACTGCAGGAGTGAGAGGAATGGACTTATCGCATGCGCCTCTCCATGCGCAATCTTATCCCTGGGCTGCCACTCGCCTCTCCCCGTATATATCCTCTGGTCAGCCAAGGCTGTCTGGTCAGTCATGACCCTCTCTCCCTTCCCCTTCCCTGATGCTCCTCTCCATTATCTCTCCTCTACAGCTCAATCCTCTTTCTTCTGCCCCCCTCACTCTCTTCACCAGGCGCTGTTCGACATGTGTGCAGCCAAGGCGGTGGGGTCATTCATGACGTCATTCGTTCTGGCATGTGTGGCGCTGGCAGCTGATGGGGGCGTGGATGGGGGCATCGACCCCATGTGAGTCTCTGCTCTGTTGACTTGCGTTGACTTGCATTGACTTGTGTTGACTTCGTTCATTCTAGCTGCCTGTCATTTCGTCTGCCACCCCCTCCACCTCCACTTAGTCTGCCATTATCCTTTGCCCTCAACCTTGGTTGTGTAATCACGACAAGCTACTAGCCATCCTGATTTCACATCTGGATTTTAAACTTCCATAATGCATGGATCAAAACCCCTCAAAGTTGACTTTTGAGTCGACTCAAAACTCCCCTCATTTATCTTCTCTCATAATCCAGCAAGTATGGATCGAAACCCTTTTGCCGTTCATACGCGACCCGTTTTACAAGGCGTGTACGCGTGAGGGCCTCTTCTAAGTACTTTCCGTATAGTGTCTCTTTCTGGTCAGCCCTTCTAAACACATAAAATGCGAACAGGGCAGACTGTCTGGTCTTGAGTATACTCTCCTCGGACTGATCGGGTCACCTGCCAAAAGCGTGTGACATCCTCTTTGGTTGTCGAACCAAAGAAGATGGTTTACGTTATTGTCAGATGTCCGGATCATCGAAGGAGAGCATACTCGGGGTAGACAGGCTGCACCTTTTGCATTTTATCCGTTCAGAAAGGTCGACGAGAGGAGTTATCGTATGGAAGTACATAGGGAAGGCTATCGTGCGGGAAACACCTCATAAATCCATGTTTCTTTTATCATCTACACATTTTTCAAAAGCACCTTTTCTCTCCATCTCTCTCCATGCATTCTCCATTAGCAATTGCCATGCCTACACACACTCCTTTATCGCTCTTTCCTTCGCCCCTCTTCCCTCCCCCCCACCCCCACCCCCATGCCCCACCAGGTACATCGAGCCGTCTTTCTTCGCTCCCAACCTCCTCCTCTCCTTCATTCAGAACGTCATCGGCCCATACTCTGACGACCTGGGCAACGTCATGCCCAACGCTGTGGAGGGGCTGGGCGTACCAGTGAACCCACTGGCGTTTGCCGGCCTGCTGGGGTTTGTCATTACGGCACTGAATCTTCTGCCTGCTGGGCAGTTGGATGGAGGACACATGGTGCAGGTGGGTGGGTGCCGCAGAGCAAGCAGCCTGTATAGCTGGTGGTACGTGCACAGGTAACGGCCGACAGGAATCATCGGGCCATACTCCGACGACCTGGGCAACGTCATGCCCAAGGCTGTCGATGGGCTGGGGGTGCCTGTGAATCCACTGGCGTTCGCAGGGCTGTTGGGGTTTGTGATCACAGCGCTGAATCTGCTGCGGGCACATGGTGCAGGTGGGTGGGTGCAGAGGGTACAGCCTCTGGTGGTGCTGGTGCTGACACTGATACGGCTTATGTAGGCCATAGGCTGGGAGTGGGACGACCTGGGCAACGTCATGCCCAATGCCGTGGAGGGACTGGGCGTGCCAGTGAATCCTCTGGCTTTCGCAGGGCTGCTGGGGTTTGTCATCACGGCGCTCAATCTGCTGCCTGCTGGGCAGCTTGACGGGGGGCACATGGTGCAGGTGGGTGGGTGGGTGGGTGGGTGGGTGGGTGGGTGGGGCTAGAGGACACATCCTTTAAAGGTGTTGCTGCTCACACCTATGCAGCTTACTTAGGCCACAGGCTGAAACTGGAAGCGACCTGGGCAACGTCATGCCCAATGCAGTGGAAGGGCTGCGGGTGCCAGTGGATCCTCTCGCCTTCGCTGGGCTGCTGGGGTTCGTCGTTACAGCTGGGCAAGTTGTTGCTTGTTACCCCATATCTGCTGACGTGCGCACTGCACTTGGGATGTGCGGGATGGATGGGGTGGGGGGACGAGGAGGAGACGAGATGGAGGGGTCGGGGAAAAGGGCAAAGAGTAACGGCGAGGATCAAGCGGCGCTTTTCAACGTGGATGAGGATGGATCTGCTAACATGGAGGTCGATGGGATAGAGGTAGGCGGGCCTCGCCTTCCGCCTACCTCTATCCCATCGACCTCCATGTCAGCAGGCCCATCCTCATCCACGTTGAAAGCCTCTGCTTGATCCTCGCCGTTACTCTTTGCCCTTCTCCCCGACCCCTACATCGTTACTCTTTTCCCCTGTCGTGTGCTCTGCTTCTTCTGGGCCTTCGTCATCCTTACCTTCCCTGCCTGACCGTGCCTTCCCTTGCCTTTCATTACCTTCCATCACCCTTCCTTTCTATCCAGGCACTGTTCGGTCGGCGCAAGGCCAAGATAACGACTCTTATCACTCTAGCCCTGCAGGCGCTCGGAGTCTTTTCAGGCAGCGTGCTCTGCCTCTTCTGGGCCTTCATCATCCTCGCCTTTCCTGCTTTCCCTGCCTTTCCTTCCATCACCCCCTCTTTCTGCAGGCACTATTCGGCAGGCGCAAGGCCAAAATTACCACTCATCTCATTAGCCTTCCTGGGCCCGGGGGGCTTTTCCGGCAGTGTGCTGTGCCTCTTCTGGGCCTTCATCATCCTCGCCTTCCGTAACAGCGAGGAGCTCCCGTCCATCTCCCGTCTTACCACCCAACTCATCTCTTTCCTCTCCCCTCCCCCCCCCCCCCCCCCCCGCACCTTTCTCCATATCTGCAGGCCCTATTCGGCAGGCGCAAGGCCAAGATAACAACACTTATCACTCTAGCCCTGCTAGCCTTAGGAGGTTTCTCAGGCAGTGTGCTGTGCCTCTTCTGGGCTTTCATCATCCTCGCCTTCCGCAACAGTGAGGAGCTCCCATCGCTGGACGAGATCTCGCCACTTGGCAGAGGCCGATTCGTGCTCGCGTGGATGCTGCTGAATGGCAGTCTACTGCTGCTGCTGCCCAAGAGTGGTGGCACATTCCCCTCGTTCCTACCCACGGACTTCTAGTTGTGGGATAAGGCAAGTGTCCAGGCATGAAGCAGGAAATTAAAATGGCAATTCGTGCTCGCATGGATGGATGCTTCCGAATGGCAGTCTGCTGCTGCTCTTCCCGAGAGTGGCGGCCCGTTTCCTTTCTTCCTACCCACGGATTTTTAGCTGTATGTGTGAAGGCAGTTGTCTAGCCGGGGCAGGAAGGAATCTAGTGCGTGCTAATTCGTGCTCGCGTGGATGCTGCTGAATTGCAGCCTGCTGCTGCTGCTCCCCAAGAGTGGCGGTGGCACGTTTCCCTCTTTCTTGCCCACGGGCTTTTAGCTGTGTGTGAAGGCAGTTGTGTAGGCAGGGAAGGGGTAAAAAAAAGGAGCATGTTGACACACTTGTACCGGTAGCTTCCAGTCGTTATTGTGTCACCAAGTGTATGGCATTCAATAGTTGAGGCATAAACACACAAATGGATCACTGCACATTCAGTGTCCTTACAAGCATCAGCATTAAGGGTGCGTTCCTGTGGAGACACTTGTGTCTCAATCCCCTTTTTTCCGAGTCGCGTCTACACATTTGTACAATCTCGCGTCACAAAAAATGAGTGTATCACGAAACTGTGCGACCAGGCGAAATTTACAGCTGTGCTCATGTGATTGGATTTCAAACTTGACTGTACACCTGTTTCTTCAACTGTCTGGTTCGGGTGGGGTTTTGACGAGCGGAACTTTTTCCCACGCGGGATTTTTACTGTGGAATGTCCAGGTGCATTGACATTTCGAACCGCGTACAGAGTTGTTGACAGTGACGGGTCAATATGCAACTCGTCCGCGACATCAGCGCGTTTCACGCTGACAAATGAAAAATACAGAAAAAGTCGCACAAGGGCGACACGCGTTTGTGACATTGTACGTTTCAAGCTGTTTTTACGCGTCACAAAAGGATTGAGACACAAGTGTCTCCACAGGAACGCACCCTAAGGCTTCCATCCCGTGTGGATATTTGAGTCACACTACACTACAAAATCAAGTAGGAGGAAATGGAATGGACTTATGATACGGTAACATGGCATATAACAGACCTATTTACAAGCACAAACAAAAAGCTTCCGCCTTGTGTGTATCACAAGCACAGCACAGCACTGAGCACCCACACATTGTAGGTCAACCCAAAAGTAGGAAATGGAAAGGATATCACTTCATATATCTGCACAAGTGGACCACATGCACATCTGATTGTTGCCGCGGCCTGCCTGCCTCACCAATACCGCTCAGAACTGAAAGTGGCAGCCTTTTTAGACTTGGATTTCCTTGACTTGTTTTTCTTAGGCTTGGAAAAGGCAGCTTCCTGGAACCTGGATGAGCTCGCCTGTGTCTCGTATGGGGGGCCAACAGGCGCAGAGTAATCATCACCGGGGTAGTCATCATCAGGGTAGTAATTACCAGGGTAGTCATCATCAGGTGCTGCTGAGTAGCCGTAACCAAAACTGGGACTGTAACCATAACTGGGACCATAACCATAACTGGGACTGTAACCACAACTGGGACCGTAACCGTTGCCATAGCCATAACCGTAACCAGGAGTATAAGAGCCGTGAGCAGGAAATGAAGCTGGATAAGCAGGAAATGAAGCCGGATAAGCAGGAGCGGGGCAAAAACCAGGAGTATAACCGGCATGAGCAGGAGCCGAGGCAGGAAAAGAAGGAGCGGGAGGGCAAGCAGATGGACCAGAAGGTGACGACGCAGTAGCAGTAGCAGAACTAGCAGAAGAAGAAGTGCCAAAGCCAGAGGTAGATGCTGAAGTGAAACCACTGAGCTTGGACCTAGAACCACCTTTTTTGGACTTGGAACGACCTTTCTTAGAAGTGGAACCTCCTAACTTGGAAGTGGAAAAACCAGACTTGGAAGCGGAAGCACCAAACCCAGACGTGGAAGCACCAAGCTTGGAAGTAGAAGCACCTAATTTGGACGAGGAAGCACCTAGCCCCGACGTGGAAGAACAACCGAACTTGGAAGTGGAACCAAATAACCCGGATGTGGAAGCACCAAGCTTGGAAGTTGAAGCACCTAACCCAGAGGTGGAAGCACCAAACCCAGAAGTGGAAGCACCAAACCCAGAAGTGGAAGCACCAAACCCAGAAGTGGAAGCACCAAACCCAGAAGTGGAAGTACCAAACCCAGAAGTGGAAGCACCAAACCCAGAAGTGGAAGTACCAAACCCAGAAGTGGAAACACCTAACCCTGATGTAGCAGATGGAACGGCAGATGAAACAGCATCAGCAACAACAGCAGCAGCAGCAGTGGCAGCAGCAGCAGTGGCAGGTGCAGCTGGAGAGCAATACTTTGCTAGAAGTCTCAGAAATCTTTCAGTAGAGGTTTCAGTAACTGCTGCATCAATGACACCTGCTTTTTCTGAAGCAGCAACAGCAGTAGTGTCAGGGGTAACTGTTTCTCCTGAAACAGCAGCAGTGGTAGTGTCAGTGGTAATTGCCTTTCCTGAAGCAGCACCGACTGTAGGATCAGTGGCCACGGTGGTAGTATCAGTGGCAACTGCATCTCCTGAACCTGCAGCAATGCTTGTATCAGTTGCAGCTTCTTTTCCTGAAGCAACAGCAACCGTAGGATCAGCAGCATCAGCCTTTTCCGAAACAGCAGCCATGGTAGTAGAATCAGTTGTAACTGCTGTCCCTGAATCTGCAGCAATGCTTGTATCAGCTGCAGCTGGCTTTCCTGAAGCAGCATCGACCGTGGGATCAGCAGTACCAGCCTTTTCAAAATCTGCAGTCACAGTGGTAGTGTCCGTGGTGACTGCCTTTCCTGAAGGAGCATGGACTGTAGGATCAGTGGTAACTCCTTCTCCAGAATCTGCAGCAACGTCGGTAATGTCAATGGTGACTGCTTTTCCTGGAGCAGCAGCAACGGTAGTGTCAGTGGTAACTGCTTTCGCTGAAACAGAAGCAGCCAGAGTGTCAGTGGTAACTGCTTTTCCTGAATCAGCATCGACTGTGGGATCAGATGTGCCAGAATCTGCAGCAATGTTCGCACCGATTGCACCTGCTTTTCCCGAAGCAGCAGCGACCATAGGCTCAGCAGTACCAGCCTTTTCCGAATCAGCAGTCACGGTGGTAGTAGCAACAGCAGTATCTGCAATTCCAGAAGCAGCAGCCACCATAGTATTACGAGTAGACGCATTTGCAGCAGTAACGGCGCTGTTAGCTGGCTTCCCCGAAACAGCAGTAACATTAGTATCGGTAACTTCTTTTCCTATAGCATCAGTCTCAACATGAACTGCTGCTACCGAAGCAGCATCAACTGTGGTACGAGTGGTAACGGCCTTTCTTGAAGCAGCAGCGGTCGTAGTACGGTGATTATTTACACGCCTCAGAAATCGCCTCATCTTGGTATTATTGCTGAATGCGTTTCCAGGAGCAGCACTACAAGCAGGAGTAGCACTAAAAGCAGGAGCAGCACTAAAAGCAGGAGCAGCACTAAAAGCAGGAGCAGCACTAAAAGCAGGAGCAGCACTAAAAGCCAGAGCAGCACTTATGACAGGAGCAGCACTAACGACAGGAGCAGCACTAACGACAGGAGCAGCACTAACGACAGGAGCAGCACTAACGGCACCAGTAGCTACCGGAAGGGAGGATAAAGCAGTAGCATCTTGTTCGAAACACGATGGAGGGGAGATCTGTTCGGAGCGCGAGGGAGAGGGCAGCAGATCGACCGTGCTGACAGCAACCGACGTGCCGCTGAAGGTTGGAACTGAACATGTGTGGTCCTTCAAGGCGTCGTTGTCAAAGCTATCGTTTACTTTAACGTCAACGTCCGCATCTACGTTAACGTCAGCGTCAGCGTCTATGTTAACATCGACACGTAACGGATTCAGGTCCTGGAAAATAAAGGCGTCGTGGAGATCTTCGTCCGTGGAGAGCGCGATGACGTCACCGTCGGTGTCTGTGTACGTCAGCAAGAGCGGCTTGCTGGCGGGGATCTCCAGAGACGCGCGAATCCGCAGGCTGACGTGGCGGAAGGACGGAGGGAAGCAGCGGGACGAGATGCGACGCAAAACGCCATTGCAGTTGACCTGGGGGGAGAGGAAACGGAGGAGAGGGGGGAACGGGAAGAGGGGAGCGAAAAGGACGGCGGGGAGGGCACGCGGAGAGGAGAAAGGGAAAACGGGTTAAGGTGAATGGAAGAGTAAACAATGGTTTTGCATGAGTTTGATAGATGGGATGTCAGAAATGTTCCTCGCAAGGCGGCGACTTGCTCAGCCGTAGGGATGACGAGCCGAAAGGGACCCGATTGAACCGAAAACTAGTTAAGACGAGAAAAATAAACGCAGTAAAGATCCAAACATACTTGATTCCTGAAAAATGAATCTAGAAGGCACTTATCTACCCAGCGATGCGTTGACGGCACGGGCAGTGAAATATCTCTACTCACCTTCGTGACATAGAGGGTCGACATGGCGGGAACGGTAGTATGGACGTGAGAAACGATTCAATAGACCAAAAAGAACGGTAAATTACATGGAGGCTCTCATTAGTAGCTGCCTGGCAGCGGGGCGTCTGAACGAGATATTCAGCACCTACTACGAGTTTGGCCGTGGATATTCACTCTCTAAGCTACAACGAACGGCGCATCACACGGAAATTCCCATCAGTGGTTCTGGCAGCGGGGCGTCTGAACAAAAAAATCAGCACCTAGTACGAATTTGGAAGCTGTATATGGCTGAAAATCGTAAGAAATGGGGGTAGATGCAAGCGTTCGCTCTACTACCAAAAGGAACTACCATAAGGACCAAAACAGGAAGAAGCGTATTCTAGGAATCAAGGCGTTTGACGAGGAATCCCAGTGCTAGTCTGCCAACGCTACTGCATGCGTCATTGCTGTTCCTCTACCGTGTGTACGATGATGCGTGGGTGCGGTGTGGTGATGATGAAGATGGGATGGTCGTGAATTCCCCAATTTCTAGGGCCGCGCGCGCGATCCAACGCATGTTTCGTGAACGGCCGCCTGACGATGTTGTCTTGTCAACCATGACCATAGGCGCTGAAAATACACATCCTCGCTCCGCATGGTATACGTTGATGCAATACAAGATTCGTTCTCATTTATCGATTGACATATTTACCATATAGAAATTACCACACTATACAGCAACTGAAATCACAATCTTACATGACATCAGCCCGTACAAACATTGCAGCCATGATACATGCTTTTACCTCATCTGAGACACTGTACAGTGAACAGCAGGTGATTTGGCCTGCCAATGCATGGCGGGGGGCGTTGAATGGGAGAGAAGGCAACTACAGAGCGAGGTAAAAACTCCCAGAGCATGAGCAGAAGCTTGCTGCTGTTACTGTTGATGCGACAAAAGCAGTACAAGTGCCAAAAGCGGGGCAGAATGGCGAAAAGCAGAAGGAGTGCCGAATGCAGGAGCAGAAGGAACGGCAGCTACTTGGAATGCCATGGATTGGCAGAGGTCTAGATGGGGTAGAAGGCTGCACCAGGGATGAATGGTGCAGGAGCTCAGAGAAGGAGCAGACGAAATTGAGGGGATTGGAGGATTAGGGGGAGGAGAGGCTTGTTACTGCTGCTGAAGTGGCAATAGCAGGAGAGCAAGGGCGGAAAGCAGCAGGGCAAGGGCGGAAAGCAGGAGTGCAAGGAAGGAATCAGGATCAATTGAAGCAGCAGCTACTTGGATAGCCATAGTGAGGCAGAAGGCTGGGTGGGATGAAAGGCAGAGCCAGGGGCGAAGTTAGAAAAGCTCAGAGAAGGAGCAGAGGAACCAGTGACGGCTGGAGGCTTGGAAAAGGGCGGTGCTGTTGTTGCCGTGTTGCTGGGAGGAGACGGGAAAGCTGCAGTAGGAGCAGACGAGTTAAAAGGAGGAAAAAAGGCCAGTTCCCAGGGGCTTGGAGGAGAGGGGTGCTGCTGTTGCTGTGTTGCTGGGCGGAGACGGGAAAGGTGCAGCACAAGGAGATGGAGTAAAGGAGGAAAAAAGGCCAGTTCCCAGGGGTTTGGAGGAGAGGGGTGCTGCTGTTGCTGTGTTGCTAGGCGGAGACGGGAAAGGTGCAGCACAAGGAGATGGAGTAAAGGAGGAAAAAAGGCCAGTTCCCAGGGGTTTGGAGGAGAGGGGTGCTGCTGTTGCTGTGTTGCTAGGCGGAGACGGGAAAGGTGCAGCAGAAGCAGATGGGTTGAAGGAGGAAAAAAGGCCAGTTGCCAGGGGTTTGGAGGAGAGGGGTGCTGTAGTTGCTGTGTTGCTAGGCAGAGACGGGAAAGGTGCAGTGGCAGCGCCAAACCCAGACGACAAGGTGCCAGTAGAGGGATTGGCAGTGCCAGAAGCACTGGAAGCACCAGACGCAGCAGTGGCAGTGGCACCGGCAGGAGCAGAAGCGCCAATACTGTAGGTAAAGGCACCACGAGCAGGAGTAGATGAGGCAAAACTGGAGGGGGGCGTTCCAGTGGCAGGTGTGGGAGCACCAGAAGCAGCAGCGGCAGCGAAAGCAGCAAAAGCAGAAGTGGCAGGCCCAGGAGTGGTGGCGAAAGCAGCAAAGCCAGACACAGCAGGCTTGGAAGCAGGGCGGGTAGAACCAGCAGCAGCAGCAGCAGATGGAACGACAGCAGAAGACGGAGAGGAAGCAGATGAAATGGTAGCAACAGGTGGAACGGCAGAGGCAGATGGAACGCTAGCAACAGGTGGAATGGCAGTGGGAGATGATACGGTAGCAGCAGATGGAACGGTTGCAGCAGGTAGAACAGTAACAGCAGATGAAACGGCAGCAGCAGTTAAATCGGTAGCAGTGGACGAAAGGGCTGCATCTGCTGTTGGCATCCCGGAACCAGCAGTCAAGGTAGCATCGACAACAATTTCGGTTGTTTCTTTCCCTGAAGCAGCAGTGACGGTACTAGTATCGTCAGTGGCTGCTTCCCCAGAAGCAGCAGTCACGGTCGTATCAGTACTAGCTGCCTTTCCTGAAGCAGCAGGGATCGTAGTATCAGCAGCAACTGCTGCTCCCGTAGCAGCACTACTGTCACTTGTAGCTCCGAGAATGGAAGATGGGTCATTGATATTCTTTGCAGAACGCGAAGGAGGGGGGAACAGGTTGTCAGCGCTGACGGCTGGAAGAAGATACTTAACGTCCGACAGATTGGCAGTTGTCAAGTCGCCGTCACTGCTAACGCCGGCATTCACGCCAACGTCAGCGTCAGCATCAGTGGTTCCATCAGCCTTTTCGTCAACGATCACGTCAACTCGTAACGGATTCAGTTCCTGAAAAACGAATGCATCGTGCAGATCATCGTCCGTGGAGAGCGTAATAACGTCACCGTCCGTGTCTGTGTACGTCAGCGAGATCGGCTTGCTGGCGGGGATATCAAGAAGCGCGCGGATCCGCAGGCTGACTTCGCGGAACGACGGAGGGGAGCAGCGGGACGAGATGCGACGCAACACGCCGTTGCAGTTGACCTGAAGAGGGAAGAGAGGGGAGAGGTAAGAAAAGCGGGGGAAGATGGGAAGAGTGCAGAGAGTGGGGAAACGGGGATGTGAAACAAAGCAGTGGTGTGGCCAGAGTTAGATGGGTGGGAAGCGGTAAGATGCCGGAGAAGTGCATCGCACCGCGACGAGTTGCATCTCGCAGCTCATCCGCGGGGGATGAGGAACGTCACCCCTTTGCCCTGTAAAAGCGACTTATCTTGATTGAAAGGTGAAGAACTTGTAAAAGCCATCACCGAGAAAAACTACGCGATAGCAATCCAAACTGAAGCGAGAAGGGAGGGGAAAGAACGGAGGGAGGGATCTGGAAAGCACTAATCTACCTAACGACGTGTTGACAGCACCTCATGCTCACCTTCATGACATAAAGGGTCGACATCATGGAAACGCTACCACCAGCGTGTGGCTAATCTGGACGCAGGAGATGATTCTACAAAGAAGATGATGTGACAATAAGGAACGGTGTGCTCTCAGGAAAAAAAAATATCTTGATATATTTCTGGCAGCGGGGCGAATGAACGAAATCTTCAGCACCTACTATGCTATCCGCACCAATACTTGCGTCAGTGGAAACGGGAGGGAAAAGGATGTCTGTTCAAACTGCAGAGGCAAGAAAAACAAGAAAGCGTTGGTACGACTAGAAACTAGAAAAAATTGCCGTGCTTGTTGTGCTGATACTGCTTGGATTACTGATATTTATTCTTGGAGAGGAGCCATGGATCTGTGGATGGAGATGGAGGTTGCGGTGTTGGAGTGTTCGAGCCGAGCAAGGAAGCGAGGTCAGAGTTCGTGGTGTGCAGTGGTTCGGACAAGTGTTTGCATGGCTTTTGAATGCCTGTTTTGACCCTACCGAAACCATCCGAACCGAACCTAGAACTCAAAATATAAAAACAAACCGAAGCGACCGTGACAATGGCTTCCCCACAATTCAACCCCCGCCACTCCAATTTCGAGACGCGGTACGAGTTTCCCGCGTCTTTTCCGCCATATTTGTTCGCTTCAATCTGACGCTCAACTCCGGATGTCAACCCGCTTTCGAAGACTAGCGAAGTCCTTCCACCATTGATTTTGCAACTCGCATAAACTTCGAAGTTTTCGCGTGCAGTTCGCTTGATTTCGCCGTGCAAAGGCGTCGGACCCTGGACCTGGATTTCTTTCTATCATTCGTTTAGCTTGCGGGTGCCCTCCCCTCCCTAGGGTTTCCAACAGCCTATTTTCCTTAGTGTATATTTTTCGCGATTCACGCTAGCTGGTAGCTTCTGGGCCAGCCATGGCGTCGCTCCTAGCGTTTCCGCAAGCACAGATGAGCAGCATTTCGCTCGCTGCGTCGACATCTCAGAATGTGAGCTTCTAGAGCCTTTTGTAGCTCCTATCACGAAACGCCATCACACCCTTGTTCGTTTCCCACCCGTTTGTCTGCAAATTCCTCCTCACATGACGTTTACAATTTCTCTTTTGAAGAATTACTCATGTATCGTATTAGGATCTCCACTGCTTCGTCTCGCTGCCTCCCTCTCTCCCGGTCAGTCATTATCGGCATCACTGCCTCCTATCTCTCCCAGGCCCTCTCTTCGTCCGCCTCCGTCTCTTTCCGCGAGGCAGACATCTCCGCTCCGCGCCGAATTCCGCCGCGGCGACTGCCTCCTCCGCCGTTGCGGTGCCCGCGCAGGCTTCCGCCGGCGCCGCCGATTCCGCCGCCGACGGCGCTGACGGCGCCGCTCAAGGTGAGGTGAGCGGCTGTGGTTGCATCTGACTCAATGAATTCGCTTGCATTGTCGTCCGTTGGATGAGAGCCGCTGAACGTGAGGTGAGCGGCTGTGATAGCATTTTATCCATTAAATTCTCTTGCATTGTTGACTGTTGGATGAGAGCCGCTCAAGATTAGGCGAGTTGCTGTGCTGCAGCGGCAGCTGGCATCCGTGCTCACGCCGTTCGAGGATAGACTGGATTCGCGCGCGTTGAGTAGCATCATGAAACAAGTGAGTGAGAGAGTGAGTAAATAGCATGTGAGGTGTGTATGGTCACTTGGTAGGCTGGAGTGGGATTGGATTTGGGCGGGATTCGCCAGCAGGCACGCCGCTCTCGCTGCTGCAGCGGCAGCTGGCGTCGGTGCTGACGCTGTTCGCGGATAGGCTCGACTCACGCGCTCTGATTTGAGCAGCATCATCAAGCAAGTTAGTGAGTGAGTGTGCTCCATCCAATCCAAGGGTCACTTGTAAGGCTGGTCGCAAATTGAATCAATCTGCAAAGGAAGTCTCCTCTCAGACGCACTGCTGCAGTGACAGCTGCCGTTCTTTGTGAAAAGGTAGACGTTCATGTGTTCACTTCCATTCAGACCGGAGGATTGACACAGTACATTGCGTCGCCTTGCTGCTCGCCTGCGTGCCGCCTTGCCTCGCCCCTCCCCTCGCCGCTCTTCCTCCCCGACTCTACCCCCCAACATCGCCTCATCGCCTCGCTCCACATCGCCGCCCAACCCCAGCGCCGCCTCCCACGGCGCGCCATCACCTTCGTCTCTCGCTTTCCTTCCCATCCGCCTCTCCGCCCATGCTGCAGCGCCACCCTTTCCCCGCCTCCAACCCCACGCAGTGTCCCTCGTTCCGCCCTTCCGCCGCATCCTCACGCATCCGTCGCCTTTCCCCCGCACGGCGGCGCGGAGCGGGAGCGGCGGTAGCGGAGGCAGCGGCGGGCGACGGGGCGGGCGATGTGCAGACATTCATCCTCACGGCGGGCGCGCTCGCTGCCGCCGCTGTCTCCCTGCGCCTTGCGCTCAAGGTGCCGCTCTCCGCGCACCCACTCCGCGCCCCCACTCCGCACAGCACACCCACTCCGCCACCCCTTCTCTCCCCGCTGCTCGTCCTCCGGACGCCCCCCCCCCCTTCCAATGGCCTCCCCTCCTCACGCCTACGTTTCTTCTCTGGCTTCCGTGCTCACATGCTCGCTGCTCACATGCTCGCTGCACACATGCTCGCTGCACACATGCTCGCTGCACACATGCTGGCCACGCCTCACATGCTCGCCACGCCGCACACGCTCGCCCGGGGTCACTCACTATGCGCCTCCTATCTGCCTGCTCCTCTCTCCTGTGCCCCGCATTCTCTCCTGCGCCCCGCCTGCTGTCCTGTGCCCGTGCCCCGCCTTTCCGCATGCAATGCTGCCAGGGCGACCCGGTGCCGTGTGCCAAGTGCGGGGGAAATGGTGAGAGCCTTCTCATACACCTCACTGCCATGCCATGCCACCCCACGAAGCCTAGTTTTGAGGCGCCTCAAAACTAGGCTCTCTGCATGCAATGCTGCCAGGGCGACCCGGTGCAGTGTGCCAAGTGCGGGGGAAATGGTAAGAGCCTTCCTTAAATGCCTTCTTATACACCTCACTGTGTTTTGAGTGGACTCAAACACGGCTCATTTTGAGTCGACTCAAAACACGACCCACTTCCGTGTGCCAAGTGCGGGGGAAATGGTGAGAGCCTTCTCATACACCTCACTGCCATGCCATGCCACCCCACGAAGCCTCTCGTCACCCTTCATTTTTCACATGGCGCCACATCACCTTGATTGATGCGATGGCACCATGGCACCATGCCCCTCCTGCATCTCTCTGACGCTCAATCTCAGGTTGCTCCCTGCACTTTCCCTTATGTTTCCATCCATCCGCTTTCCACCTTGTCACTGTGTCCCTCCTCTGTGGCGGGGCTGGCAGGAGGCACGGCGTGTGTGTTCTGCGAGGGGGGCAAGATGGCCGGCAAGGATGGGCGCCTCATGGACTGCCGCGTGTGCAAGGGGGCAGGTGAGGGCGCATGGGCGCAGGTGAGGTCGCATGGGGGCAGGTGAGGTCGCATGGGCGCAGGTGAGGGCGCATGGGGGCAGGTGAGGGCGCATGGGCGCAGGTGAGGGCGCATGGGGGCAGGTGAGGGCGCATGGGGGCAGGTGAGGGCGCATGGGGGCAGGTGAGGGCGCATGGGGGCAGGTGAGGGCGCATGGGGGCAGGTGAGGGCGCATGGGGGCAGGTGGGGTAGGTGGGAGGTAAAAGGGTGCAGGAGGGGATCGTAAGGGCCAGGTGAGATTCTAAGGGGCAGAGAGGGAGGAGATGCAAGGGGGCAGGGGGGGTTGTTTATGGGAGCAAGGAAGGTGTGAGGAGGTGAGTGAACTGTGCATGTACAGGCTCTTGGCTGAATCCATTTCACAGATGTGTGAGGTTGAATAGCACGATCGGTATAAGCCTTCCTCCTACCTGTCATCTAGTTCTGTAGCTAGTTCTGTACGGTATTCCCACTGCAGCATTGATCAAACCTCCTTGAATCTACTCATTTTCCTTTCCTCGTGATGTGCAGGACTGGTCTTTTGCAAAGAATGTAAGGGCACTGGCTATGTGAAGAGATTGTAACAAGGATGTTACTATCTATGCAACGACCTTAACCTTAGACGCGACACTTGTCGCAGTCGTGATGCAATGCAACCGTGCAGAACCATATGCATGCACTGCACCAAAATAGCACACAGTGGAAGTTGTGTAGGTAGGATATTTTTTTCCTTTCTGCTAGGCTAAGAAGATCCCATATACCCTAAATCCCCCGACATGCGATTGAAAAAGTGTCATGCGCTTGGGCGTATTCCTACCCCCTTGAAGTAATGCCTCCCAAGCAAATATATACAAGTGCATATATATTTTTAAATCAGTGCTGGTTTTATGCGACTATAATGTTGGGGGTCGTTCAGCACAGCCGCGTCGCTGACCTGATGCTTCTGGACTTTTGACTTCCGGTCAAACACATGGATGACGAGTACAGTACCTTGACATGATGTGGACGAAGGCGAGATGTACAGCCCGGTTCTCGCTGTTGTGGTCTCGGCTCGGATCCATACAGTTTCTAACTGTGGCTCGTGTACATGCAAGTTTTAAGCCACACAAACACGGTGTAGCTAATGTGTGGGAGCTCCTTGAAACAAATCATTTGAAACAACTGCGCACTGGCTTCTGGAGCTCAACTAGACAACTAACCCGCTTCCTCGTCACCTGCGTACAGTTCCACATCCTCCTCCACTCACGACACGACTAGAACGTGTCAAGACTTTAGGCAAGGATGAGTTGAGTATCGAGAGAAATTGGTACAAGAGGAAAACCCTAAGGGGTTATACCCCACACTATCTACCCCACTACAGCCTAGCAATAACTCTAACATATAGATGTATGTTTGACACACCCCCATAGGCAAAGTGAGGGAGAGCAGGAGATCACAAGACCAGTTAAGAAAAGCAAAGCAAGCTCAGGGTGGATCACAACGTCACCACACACACTGAGCACAAGCAAAGGGCCACAAGGCCAGTTCACATGCAGAGGTATATATGCAGTACAAACAACACAGAGATTTTTATCGAGCAAAGCAAGCATGCAGGTATATATATAGATAGATCACAGTACAGGCAAAGCCTACAGCAAGTGAGGAAAAGTGGGCACAAGCCCCAGCATAGTGCAGAAACGCTGATGATCACCAGACGGAAGTGCCTTGGTGAATATATCAGCAGTGTTGGCCCGAGTGGCCACGTAACGAAGGCGAAGCTGACCACGCTGCTGCAACTCTCGAGCCAGGAAGTAACGCAGAGCGATGTGCTTCGTTCTGTGCTCCAGTCTGTGCTCCTCACACAAGGCAATGGTAGCCTTGTTGTCGACGTACAGCACTGGAGGAGAACGAGGCCGCTCTCCCAAGTCGGTCAGCAGGTAGGTGAGCCAGCGTAACTCCTGTGCAGCCATGGCTGTAGAGTAGATCTCAGCCTCACAACTGGAGCTGAGAACTGAAGACGAGCGTGTAGAACGCCAAGAAACCGAACCAGAGCCAAGGCTGAAGGTGTAACCCTGTGACGACCGCTGAGTAGCCTGGTCGTCAACCCAAGAAGCGTCTGAGTGCCCAGTGAGGACAACTGGGCTCTTCCCTCCAAGCACTAACCCCATGCCTGATGTGCTGCACAAGTAGCGCAGTACCCTCTTAGCGGCAGCCATGTGCTCGGGTCGGTGCCGACCAGAAGCCACGTAGCGAGCCAGCAGACCAAGAGGGTACGCGAGGTCAGGACGAGTGCAAGTCATCAAGTACATGAGACAGCCAACTAACTCTGGGTAAGGACCACTCAGCTCTACGGACTCGTCCGAAGGTGGAGCTGAGAGCGAGTGACCTGTAGCCAGAGGAGTGGCCTGTGCCGAGGACCAGGTGAAGCCGAAGCGCTGAAGGACCTGCTGCACCATGTGTGACTGATTCAGTGTGATGGTGCGGCGTGCTCTGTCCCGGGTGATCTGCAAGCCAAGGTAACTGCGCAGCTCACCCAGGTCTGTGCACATATGTCTTTTCTGCAGCTCCGACTTCACCAGGGCGAGAGCCTCAGTGTCAGCAGTGGCAAAGACCAAGTCGTCGACGTACACGAGGATGTAGAACGGCGGCAGCGAAGTGTCGGTGCGCAGAAACAGCGACGGGTCAGCAGTCGACGGAGCAAACCCAAGAGCAGCAAGAGTCGTCCTCAGTGTGTCGTGCCACTCACGTGGCGCCTGGCGGAGACCGTAGACCGGCCGCCGGAGGCTCCACTGGGTACCAGGAGGGAACGACCCAGTGAAGCCAGGAGGGCGGCGCAGCCAGATCTCCTCGTGCAGGCTGCCCTATTAGAAAGTTGTGCTGAAGTCAAGAGAGTGAAGCTCGTAGTCACGCTGAGCGGCAACGTGCAGCACCACCCGAAGAGTGGTCATCTTCGGGGTGGGGGAGAAGGTCTGGAAGAAGTCAACTCCCTCTCGCTGACTGAAACCTCGAGCAACGTAACGAGCCTTGAAGACAGGCGGAGAACCTGGCGGCCGCTTCACCCTGAAAATCCACATGCCAGTGACGATGTTCGCCCCGGGAGGGGGAACCTCGTCGACGTAGGTGCCTGTGGACTTCCAGGATGCCATCTCTGCATCCATGGCTGTCTGCCACTGAGAGGAGTACTCACCCGCGATCGCCTCAGCGTAAGAGCGCGGGGTCGGGATGTCTGGAGCATCCGGGTCTCCCTCAGGGGCAAGCAGCATGGACACGAGATGAGGTACAGTAGCGGCAAAGCACTCAAACTCCTCCTGCCTGTCCTCAAGGACGTCCGTGCCAAGAGAACACTCACCCCCGACGGACGGAGGACAGACAGACTCAGACTCAGCAACAAGACTAGCAGCGTAGTCTAGACGACAGGCAGCAGCAAAGTCAACCAGCTCAGCTACCAAGGCAGACGCAGCAGCAGACTCAAACGACGGGTCAGTAACAACAGTGGCTAGCAGACGCGTGACAGTAGAGTGAGCAGCACGGGTGCGGTCAGACTCAGGCTCAGGGACGGGAGGTAGAGAAGACGCAGGAGGGGAAGGCAGGGGAACACGCTGCGGAGGAGAGGAAGGACGACGGACGACAAGGCGGGCGCTGGGGACAGCCGACTGACGCGAACGAGGGACACTACGACCGGAACGACCAGACCGAACAGGCGAAACAGGACGCGACGCAGGCTCACGACGCTCAGTAAGACCCCCTGACTGCTCAGTGCAAGGAGAAGGAGCAGGCAGCGGCGAGCCAGGCAGTAACGGAAGACCAGTAGACGAAGGGAGACTAAGAACCTGGCGAAGCACAGAGTCAGGCGGTGGCTGAGACGACGAAGACGGTGGAGCGAAGAACAGGCGCGGCTGTGCAGGGCGACCAGCACCAGCAGCTCCAGCACCCCCAGCAGCACCAGCACCTCCAGCAACTCCAGCACCCGCAGCGCCAGCTCCTCCAGGACCAGCTCCACCAGCAGTAGCACCCCCAGAACCAGTACCTCCAGTCCCAGGGTCGCCAGCCTCAGTGTCTCCAGCAGCAGCACCTCCAGCTCCAGGGTCGCCAGCAGTAGCAGCCTCCGGCTCAGCAGCACCTCCAGCCCCAGCAGCTCCAGCACCCCCAGTACGAGCACCTCCGGGACCAGCACCACTCCCAGCACCAGTGACAGCAGCAGAAGTACCTCCAGCGGCAGAGCCCCGAGCTCCAGAAGCGCGACCCTGCCGGCGACCGTACCAGTCGTGCAGCTGCTGTGAGGTGAGAGGCACACGCGGACGAAGGCGGCTGCTCCAAGGAGAGCGCACAACAGCAGACTCAGCACCCTCGGCGCCAGCACCCGCAGCAGCTCTAGAACCTCCAGCAGCAGCACCCTCAGCAGCTCCAGAACCTCCAGCGCTAGCACCCTCAGCAGCTCCAGAACCTCCAGCGCCAGCACCCGCAGCAGCTCCAGAACCTCCAGCGCCAGCACCCGCAGACCCAGTACCCCTAGGCTCAGCACCCCCAGACTCCTCACACTCAGGCCCAGCACCCCCAGGCTCCGCACCCCCAGGCTCCGCACCCCCAGGCTCCGCACCCCCAGGCTCAGCACCCCCTGGCTCAGCACCCCCAGACCCCTCACACTCAGGCTCAGCACCTCCAGAAGCAGCACCTCTAGCAGGACCTGAGTCACCAGTGACCTCAACCAGCGGAGGCAAGGGAGGAGGGTCTACCTGAGACACACCTGAAGGAGCAGGACCGGGAGCGGGGAGGGGGTCTACCTGGGCAGCACCTGGAGCGAGGAAGAGCGGCGGGGGGGGGGGGGGGAAGGGGCAGCGCGGTAGGGGAAGAGACGGTAAAAGGGAACCGACTCGTCAAACGTGACGTCCTGAGAGGGGAAGACACGGCGCGAGGTGGGGTGGTAAAACTGCCAACCAGGCGCGTCAGGGACAAAGCCAAGGAAGACACAGGGAACTGCGCGGGCGGAGAGCTTGTCCGCGGTGGTATCGCGGACAAAGGCACGAGAACCCCAGACCCGGAAACGCGACGCATCGCCAACCTTCCCCGTCCAACGCAGTGTGGGCGAGGTCTCCAGTAAGGAGACACGGGGCCAGAGGTTGAGCTGATGCGCGGCGTACCGGACTGTGAGAGTACGACGGCTTATGCCAGCTATGCTTGCTTGCCTTTACTTTATCATGCTATTTCTAGCATGGGATAATTATATGCATGCATGAATTGCTTGATTTCCTAGGCTAGGTGCTTTCCTATATTTTATTATAGTTATAGCACCGAGCTAGGTTGCGTGCACCGAATTCTGGCTTTTCGGTTACCACCGAATTGCCTTCTACCGAATTCGGGAAGGATCTGTTCGGGACGCTTCGCGACCCGCGGAACCTTCGCGTAACACCTGGTTACGGGGCCTTGTGTCGAGCCTATATATAGCCTCGTGTTGTACCCAGGTGGTCATTCAATTACAATTCTCTTTTCTGAGCCCGATCCTAGATCCACACTTGGAATCAGAGCCTGTTTAGAAGCGAAGTTTTTCGACCGCTGAAACCTAGCTTTTAAAACCGCGGGGGCGACGAAGGAAAGCGCCGATTTCGGG